TACCTCTTTTAATATCTATAGTATCTTTAGTGATATTCTGCTCTTTCATTTTGGATGCTGCTAGTTTGTGTTCTCTTTCATCTAAGTACAATTTTTCCTTTCATTCTGGATATTGATCATTTGCTTTCTCTCCTGTTAGACTGTTATATCTACCTTTCCCTTTAAAAAAAAAAAAACTTTCATGTTTGTTCCTTATAGACAGTGAAGAGTTAGGACTCGCTTTAAAAAAAAAAAAATCTAGCCTTATTCTCTACCTTTTTCATTGATGTCTTTACTGCACTTAAACTTGATGTAATTATCTGGTTGGGTCTACCAATTAGATAGTTGTTTTCTATTTGTCCCACCTGCTTTTGTTCCTTTGTTCTATTTTACCTGTCTTCTTTTGAATTAACAGTATTTTTAAATATATCATTTCAATCCCTGTAACTGTTTTTTAGGTATGCCTCTTTGTATTTTCAGAGGTTATTCTGGGGATTACAATATGCCTTTTTAACATATCACAGTCTATCTAGAGTTATAATAATACAGTACTACTTCATGTAAAAGAGAAGAATCTTGCAACATTATAGTCAACTCCCTCTGTGCTTTGTGCCACTAGTATCATACGCATTATGTCTACATATAACCCCATAATAGTGTTTAATTTTTGCTTTAAACATTCTCGCCTTTTTAAGAAGTTGAAAGCAAAAAATATATAGATCCTCCTTGACTTACAAGAGGATTATGTTACAACAAACCCACTGTAAATTGAAACTATTAGTTGCAAATGCATTTCACACATTTAACCTACTGAACATCATAGCTTAAACGTGCTGAGAACTCTTAAATTAACTTATAGTTGGGTAAATCATCTAATCCAAAATCTCTTTTAAAATAAAGTGTTGAATATCTCATGTAATTTATTGAATACCGCACTGAAAGTAAAGAATGGTGGTATTGGCCGGGCGCGGTGGCTTAAGCCTGTAATCCCAGCACTTTGGGAGGCCGAGACGGGTGGATCACGAGGTCAAGAGATCGAGACCATCCTGGCTAACACGGTGAAACCCCGTCTCTACTAAAAAATACAAAAAAAAACTAGCCAGGCAAGGTGGCGGGCGCCTGTAGTCCCAGCTGCTCGGGAGGCTGAGGCAGGAGAATGGCATAAACCCGGGAGGCGGAGCTTGCAGTGAGCTGAGATCCGGTGCACTCTAGCCTGGGTGACAGAGCGAGACTCCGTCTCACAAAAAAAAAAAAAAAAAAAAAAAAAGAATGGTGGTATGGGTACTTGAAGTAGTTTTTACTGAACGCATATTGCTTTCACACTATTATGAAGTAAAAAAATTCTAAGTTAAACCAACAGTTGAGAGTCACCACGCTCAGCCAAAAAGGCTCTATTATACCTTCCTCTATTAGACTTTACTGACTTTTACAAGCAGGAAAGAATTGCATTTAAATTTCGTATTTTTCTTATATAAAGTACTAATGATTTCACCAATCTTCTTTTAAAATGCAGGACACTTTATTTATAAAAGAAATTATATAACTTTGAATATCTACTATAATTCAAAGGATGTTTATTTAATTAAGGTTAACTTTCACTTGGCCTGACACATCATTCCACCCACCTATTTCTTTATAATCAATCCACAAAATAAAAATCATTGTACCTGGCAGTAGCATCAACATGATTACAGCATATAGGCACAATAAAGATCTAGGATACGTTTATATTCATTTTCCCTTATCTTGGAAAATACAGCACATTTTAAAGTTCTCTCAGAAAACTCTCAGACTACAAATACATCAGCAGAATGGCCCCCACTGTTAGTTACTGTTACGAATAGTTTTCTACAACAATAATGCTATTCCAACTTTATAGCTTTAGTTCAGTCATAGCTTGGAACAGAATAAAGTTAACTCTGGTTGAGAATATCCTTGGCTGAATTAGCATGATGATGTACACTAATTAGAAAGACTAAGCAAATGGTATTTTTTAAAGGAAGCTTTATAAAGCAAAAGGTAGAAGAAAAAAGGTCTAGAATGGGATTTGATTACTTATAGCAAGAGCTACTAAAAAGGCATGTATCTGTCAGAATGAAATCTTTCCAAAGTAGCAACTTTATCATTCAATTAATACATACTTATTGAGCAACTATTTTATCAATGAGGACACTGAGTAACAATCTAAGGAGCACACAGCTGGTTAACAGACTCAAGATTCAAATCCTGTTTGTCTTACTCCAAAGTCCATGATTTTTCCACTTCAAATCTAAAAAAAGGGAAGGTTTCAACCTAGATAGAGAAATGACTATGTCGCTAATTTTATAATGTACACAGAAAAAGGAGCAAGATTGGAAGGGAAGATGATTAGCCTAACGAAACCAACAGCAGCATTTATCTAATTCATCTGCTTCCTCCAAAGGATCAAAGAGAAGGCATAGAAAGCTACACTTAGTGAGGACTTAAGATAGGTAATCTCTAAATCCTTTTAAAAAACATTTTAAGTAGTACATACTAAATGAATAAATATAATACTAATGAATAATGGATACTAATGAATAAATGTAAGCTGTGTAAGTTATAAAACATAAGAAAATAAGCACCCATAAACTCACCACATAATTTAAGAACTAGATCATTACCAATATGATTGGGTATACATGCATCTATTTGCTTCCCTCAAAAGTCATCTATTAAAATGTATTTATCATTTCTCTGCCTTTTAACAATAATCTTATCACATATGTATATAACCATAAATAGCTTATTTTGGCTTGTTCTTAAGTTTTATAAGGATAACAAATGTAGTCTCATACAAATTGGTTCTTTAACTCGTTATGTTAAGATTCATCCATCCACTCTATTGTCACTGAACATTTGCTGTTTCTCATTTATTTTAGATTCATTTGGACCATGTATATTTTCACAACTACTCATTGTAGTATTGAATTTTTTTCTGCTCAAGGTTCTAAGAAATTAGGAGATAGATCACACCCTCCCATAAGTTGTATTACACATTTAGTCTTCCAAATACATACCAAATAGTCACCATTTCAACATCACTTAAAAATGAATCCACCTTCATATGTAACTTGCCAAGATAGCTATTTGCACCACTCATTTATGACCTTATCAGTAACCACATTAAAAACAAACAAACAAAAAAAACTTAGTTTACTAACAATGATGGAGATTCTCTACTAATATGTCATTATGTTTTATGCATTACTTAACTGCTGATTTGGTCTTAAATCACTTTGCTAAAACTTAGAAAATTAGCAAAGTAATTGCTAGTCTCCCATATAATATATATTAGCTATATATGTGAGATGTTAACCTCAACTTTAAGGTTGTATATTTATTATCAGAATATATTTATCTAAAAGCCTAATATAACATCTCCTGTGCATGTTAGGAGGACAGTTGTCAAAAAGGTCCACTTTTAAGCCTGACGCAGTGGCTAACTCCTATAATCCCAACACATTGGGAGGCTGAGGTAGAAGGATCACTTACGCCCAGGACTTCAAGACCAGGCTGGGCAACATGGAGACACCGTCTTTACAAAATAAAAAAAAGTAGGCATGGTGGTACGTGGGAGCCCGGGAGGTAGAGGCTGCAGTGAGCTGTGATCACAGCACTACACTCCAGTCTGGCCAAGAGAGCTAGACTCTGTTTCAAAAAAAGAAAAAAAAAAGTTCCACTTTTCATAGTTTTTTGGTTACCCACTCGTATACACAGACACACAGTTCAGGAGGTATTACCACTTGTTCGGCAAATACACGTTTGTTTTCATTGCATTCTTAGGGACTGTGTGTGTGTGTGTGTTTGTGTGTGACATTATCTTTGCAGCTTTGTTTATCTGAGAACTGGATGATTTTTATAATGCAAGAGTAGGGAAACAAGTCTCTTTGCTTAATTCTGGGGAAAAGAAAACCTCCTCAATACTCCATAACCTTTAAGGGCATCAGTAAAACATGCATTTATTGGTAGCTGTGTTGAACACCATATTAGGTGATGGGTTTATCTGTAAAGATAATAGCAGCTCTTACCCCCTAAAGTCTTTTAGGATTAAACGAAAAAACGCAGATAAATTGATTAACACAGCACCCACATTGTAATTCGTGATTGAATAAATATAAGTTTTCATTTCTGTATAGCTTTCCCCTTTCATGTCAATTCCTATTTGATGCAAATATTTCCCCAGCTGCGTTACTTTGCATTTTACTTAATACTGAAATAAACTAAGGAATAGGTTACACTAGAGGGGGTACCTAAATCAGCCTGAGGATAAGGACAGCCAGGGAAGAATTACAGGTGTTTGATATCCACTCCACTCCCACCTTTAATGACTTTTTTTTGGTTTTAAGTTTCTATAGGGTAGCAACTATTTTATGCATCTCAATATAGGATGGATGAAGGATAGGAAAAATAGATGAATATTATCTAGCACAATGCCTATTCCCACTATGGTCATTCTCAATAATCAGGTTATTGGTCATGGATGGGAATTTAGAGATCATGCAGTACAAACTTATTTGTATAAGTAAGAAAACCGAAGCTCAGGGTCGATAAGCGACTTGCCCAACAGTGAAAGAGTCTTAACTGGAATCCAGGTATCTAGGCCCAGTCCACGAGTTCTCCCACGGGTTTATATGAACGCGCCACATTAATGAAGGCAAGGGACTGACAAACTACGAAGGCCTGTTTTTATCTACTCTGTTTCATTCTGTGTGTTAACCTTATTTATGTTATTTCAAGTTAGACATCATCTTAAATACAGCCCACAGCTTACAAAATCTGTCAAAAGCATCGTAGAAACAGAAAGCAAAGGACTGTCGTATGAGTACCGCTGGAGGAGACGTAGTGTTGAGGGTACCAAGCGAGAACTGTCTGTCGACAGAGGAGACAAGTTTATACTCCGAAAAAATAGGAAAACGAGAAAGGCTGTTGGGCCACATAACATCTACTCTTCTTGCAGAGGGCCCCCCAAAACAGCAATACCCGGGGGAGGAGATACCTACGGCATTCTGAGATTCGGGGAAGCACCACTGCCGCTGAATAAAACAAACCCAGCATCTTCTGAAAACAAAAACTCCGCCAAAGGAAACACCAAGGCATGAAAAGCGCGCGCTGGACGTTGCGTCACGCCCACCACGGCCGGGCGGAAACACCCTCCCCGCGACGAAGGATCCGGGTGTGAGCGAGCAAAGGAGCGGGAGGGGAGTTTAGGCCCAGGAGAGCACCCAGTTTCTGCTGGGTATAACAGAGCACTCTCTGTCACTACTCTGGCCATACCGCGGCTCCTCTATCTGGCCCCGCGATAGAGGAACAACACAGCTGTCTCTGTGCGCTCTGGATCAGCGCTTCCTAGATTTCTAGCCGGATCGTTTGGGGAAGAGCTCTGCATCTTATTTCCGGTGGCGGTGAGGTGCAGTTGCCATGGTGATTAGAGAAAGGCCGAGATCTGTCCGGCTGCGGTGAGGGGAACGCGGAATCGCCGAAGAGAATTGGCTGCGCTTCCTTGTTTGTGAGCTAGAATTAGGTAGCAAACAGCTCGCTGTCTCTATCTCTTCGCTCCCTCTGTCCCTCTCTGTGTGGCTGCTTCTCCTTCCCCTGCTTTGTCTGCTTCTCTGTCATAAACATTTGGTCCATGTGTATACCTACAATGTACATGTAAATGCGGTTTTATTTCCAGAGGAGTACAAAAATAGGGAGATGGTGCCCGAGATTATCTGTGAAAGTATTTCACTGTGTAAGGACGGTGACTGGATGGCTTTCTGTTTTCGCTTGGCCTGGTAGAAGCCTTAGGCGCTTGTTAACAGTTTATTTTTCTTGCTGTTGTGTGGCTGGTTATTTATGGAGCCGTTTGCTGCAATGTACTCTCTAGGCCCCTGTCTCAGTCTCGGGCTGGAGTTTTAAATAAAGGAGGTTTCCAAGCCTGCGGGGGGTGCAATTATATGTTTATTTAAGCTTCGGTTTGGTTTCTCGTCACAGAAAGGAGAAGAATAAAATTCTGGCACATTTCTGCCTTGCGATTTCCACGTGAGGGAGTTGCCTTGTTTGGAAAGAATATTTGAGGACGATCCTAAAAAATACTTACACTTTAAAATTGCTTATTGCAAAGTGAAATTCATTCTCCCTTCCTTCTTGAAACAGTTTTCTTTCACACTTGTGAGGAGATGCATGCACGCATATGTGTTTAAAACTCTGATGCTTAATTATAGTAATACCAATTTGCAGTAACCAGACTGTGACACCACATCCCTGTGGGGTCCTTCTAAACCTGGTGTAATATGAAAGTGTCAGGCAGGCTGCCTGTGTATTATAAATAGGGTACTTCATCCATGGTAAGCAATTATTATCTTTCTTTCCCAAGTGTAAAAGATCTATATAATTCAAAAAGGTGCAAATGATTTAGGTCTCCTGAGTAGGAATCCAATGAGTCCTGAAGGGGACCCTACCTGTATCATCTTATTATTGAACTTGAAATATTCAATTTAGTTGGCTGGAGTGTATATTAGAAGTCAAAGCTGGTTAGAGTAATGTTGGAAGCTGTTAGACCAATCTGATAACCCATAGTAACCATTCTTCAGTAAACCTATATCCACATTAACAAAGAATAAACTGTTAGTGAAATTTACGGCTTTTTGCCACTTACTGCTAGCTGGGTGACATTGCTACCCCTCAATTTCCTCATCTGTAAAACGGACAAAAAAATACCTGACCACTGTAATAGGGATAAGACAAGATGTATGACAGTTCTTTAAACTCTTATGTACAGAGGTGCTATATCAACCTCAAACATTGTTATTAATAAAGGAACACAGTAAAACTATGATAATGTTATAAATGACACTTTTGAAATATAGCTATTTGAAATGTGGGGCTGCATTATTGAGATGTTAATGAAATGATCTTGCTGATCCTGCTGTGGAAGATGGGTGCCAACTACCACTCATATCCAAATTCTCATTATTCTGGAGTTTCTCATTATTCTGGAGTTTCTCATTATCTGCAGTTGATTTAGCACTTATTACGTGCCAAGCAGTATTGTATATGCTTCATATGTATTAACTGATTTGGTCCTCTTAAAAACCTGATGAAGAGTCTCATCTGACTTTCTTATTTTGAGAGAATAGATGTGTGCTTTTCCTTTGTTCAGTGATTCTTCTTTTGTATATATCTTTGTTCTTTTGGCTATTACTACATACTTGAACAATTGTATATATACATATGTATATATCTAAAATTAGAAATCAACTGCAAGGGCTTATTCTTGTTTAATGTATAATACGTCCATATACAACTATAATATTCATCTTTTTCTTCCACATATAAAACTTTTAATATCTTGATTTTTTCATAAAAGTTATAAATTTTCATCTTTTTCTTCTATGTATGAAATCTTAATTCTCCTCCCTGTATGTGAAAGACATGGTGACCTTTGCATTTTAGTGATTCACATTGACAAACAAGTTTTTAAATTACTTTTCAATAGAATGGCGATCAGTCCACGAAGCGATGCAACTTTCTCCAATCAGAAATCAACACCTTCAGAGAGTCCTCGAACAAAGAAATTTCCACTAACTGAAGAGGAAATATTTTATATGAATTGTAGAGCTGCCTACTTAACTGTCTTCAAAAGCAGCTTGGAAAACATTATTTCTAAAGATCAACTTTACTTGGGTAAATTTTTAAAAATTTTAAATCTTTCACCTTTTTGTTGAAAGTTAATAAATAGGTCAGAAAGACTGAAATTAGAATTACCTTGTTGAATCATCCCAATTTCTTAGTGAAGCTTGAGCAATGGAACTATTGTAAGCTATTATGTCATATTATATAGTTACATATTCTAGGAACTACAAATAAAACTTTCAATGTTTATACAAACTAGATGGGTAACTGAAAGCTTCTGTCAATTACTACTTGCTTAAGATATTTTTAATTCTCATTTTGGTGCTTTAAGATTTATCATAATAAAATTAAAACACTTTTGGCCTCTAAGTCACTAGTCTGGATTTGACCCATAAAGTGTAAAGGATATGTAAAAATGGGTGGAATGTCTGAAAAAAGTGAAGTATTGAGAGATAAGTGAACTTTTAAAAGAGAATTGAGTTTGGGTTTTTTTATTTCTTATTTTTATTTTTTGTTTTGTCTTTTATTGCTTCTGTCCTTCATCACATTGAAAAATTCCTCTCATTACAAAGGTCCCCAAAACCACCAAATTTGGTCCTTGCCAGGAGTATCAAATGATTTGGAGATCTTTAGTCATGAGAGAGTGATAAACAACAGTACTAGATAACACTGACTACTCATGTCAGTTTCATCAAGGCTAATAACTTTATGGGTAGAGAAGCTAAGTTATTTTACCAATTTTAGAATGAATTTTCTTAAACCAAAACCCTGACATATTTTTGCAGCAGTGTCTTGAGTTTGTATCCAATAAGATCTATTTGAGGAAATGTATTTTGAGGAATACAAGAATTGACGAGATTAAAATTTATTTGATGTCTAAATAAAATATATTATTTGTAAAGTAGTTTAAATGCAAATGCACATGACTGACTTTTAAAGTCATGTTTAATTTTGATTTACATTATTTTAAAATTACTAACATGCTCTATTTTGAATTTTAAGTATTTGTGTTTAATTCTTATACATTAAATGTTTAGGCAGACATCCAATAAATTTTTTTTTTTGAAACGGAATCTTGCTCTGTCTCCCAGGCTGCAGTGCAGTGGCGTAATCTCAACTCACTGCAGCCTCTGCCTTCTGGGTTCCAGTGATTCTTCTGCCTCAGCCTCCTGGGTAGCTGAAATTATAGGTGCATGCCACCATGCCTGGCTAATTTTTGTATTTTTAGTAGAGACGGGGTTTCACCATGTTGGCCAGGCTGGTCTCGAGCTCCTGACCTCAGGTGATCCGCCCACCTCAGCCTCCCAAAGTGCTGGGATTACAGGCGTGAGCCACCACGCCTGGCCAGTAAATTAAAATTACTTCTAATTTGCCATTTTTTCTAAAATGTCTGAGTTTTTTTTGTTGTTGTTGTTGTTACTGTTTTGAAAATATACTAAGAGAAGGAATCTGCTAAGTTTAAAAGTTTAACATGCCTTCCACTACTATGGCATTTAGTTTGTGAATCAATGTGTATGTATTATTAAGGTGTTATCAATCTTATAAAATTATCTGGGAGGATAACAATGCAGTGTTTGTCTCTTCAGTGTTATATACACTTTTGGTTTTAGGGGGGAATACTCTGTTAACGTTGTAATAATTGATTTTAGATGAACTATTTTTTAAAAAGGAGTAACATGAACCAGAGCTGCTTCTTATTGCTATGTCTTTCATCTATATCCTTCTGCCACTTATACATATAACATGTGCATTTCCATTTTAAGATTGGATAGAGCAGTAGCATTATTATAGCTTTAAGTTCCTTTTTTGTCAATTTATAAATAATACAGGCATTATAGACTCATGTCAGAACTTTAAAAGTAAACCCTGACAAAAGATCCATATCATGGTGTCAAAATTTAAACATCTACAGCTACCTAATATTTTTACTATCATCAAACTTAATAATTAGATCCAACTAATTCTAAACCTAGAGATTAAAGTTAGTAGGAAATAGATTGTATCAGTTTCTTAGATATGGGTATTTCTGCTTACTGAGTACATGTTTTGGCATAATTAATTTTATTCTGAGAAAGTTGCTCTTTTCTAATTACCAGTACATTTTTAAAAACAGTATTTTCTTTGTTACTAAAGATAGCAGCAAGCATATGCTAAGCTACCACTTGTGAGAAAAAGTTACACACCTTTTTTCTCAAAACGGAACATAAAATATAATTTTCTTTCATGTGGACTTCAAATGCTGGCAGGGATGTGGAGAAAAGGGAACCCTCATACACTGTTGGTAGGAATGTAAATTACTACAACCACTGTGGAGAACAGTTTGGAGGCTTCTTAAAAAACTAAAAATACAGCTACCGTAGGATCTAGCAATTCTACTACTTGGTATATACCCAAAAGGAAATCAGTATATTGAAGAGATATCTGCACTCCCATGTTTACTGCAGCACTATTCACAATAGCCCAAATTTGGAAGCAGTGTAAGAGTTCATCAATAGATGAATGGATTAAAAAAAAAAAAGTGGTACATATACACAGTGGAGTACCATTCAGCCATAAAAAAGAATGAGATCCTGTCATTTGCAGCAACATGGATAGAACTGGAGGTCATCATGTTAAGTGAAATAAGCCTGGCACGGAAAGGCAAACATCACATGTTCTTATATATGGGAGCTAAAAATTAAAACAATTGAACTCATGGAGATAGAGAGTTAAATGATGTTTATCAGAGGCTGAGAAGGGTAGTGGGGGTGGGGGGAGAAAATTGAAAATAGAAAAACAGAAAGAATAAGACCTAGTATTAGCTAGCACAACAGGGTGACAGTAGTAAAAAAAAAAAATTAAGTGTACATTTTAAAATGATTAGAGTATAATTGGATTGTTTGAAACAAAGGATTAATGCTTGAGGCAATGGATACCCTATTTACCCTGATGTAATTATTGCATACCTGTATCAAAATATCTTATCTTATATACCTACTATGTACCTCCAAAAATTAAAGATTAAAAAAAAGAACCTTAGACAAAAGGCACTTTAGGCTTAACAATAAGGAAGAAATTTTGCAGAAAATTTTATATAATATTCATTGTCATAAAAATAATTTAGTAGTTGTGTAAGTGCATTCTGTATATGTACCATGATTCAGTTAACTACTCCTTGATTGTTTGAACATTGTTTCCTTTATTATTAGTAGCAGTAGTGTAGCAATATGATGAGCATCTTTGCACACTAAGCCTTTTTAAAATAAAAATATTTTAGAGGCAAAAAAAAAATTACAACTTCATTTACATCTACTTGTATTCCCAGCTTTTAAAGGGTAGGAGTTGGCTGGAGTTGGAATCCTAAAACACATAGGCCATTTCTTTGATTCTGTGAACAGCTGAATTAAGGAATAGTTCATTTACACACTAGGCAAAATACTTACTTACATGTTGTTGCTAGGGCAGTGTGGTAATCAGGACTTTTGTCGACATCCAAAATAAAACCGTGGAAATAAAAACATTTATATTATCTCCAATGCAACGAATTTCCACAAAGCCTTTATAGGTGTATGGAAGATGGCAGTTACCACAACTGCAATTTCTGTTAGCTCTGAAAGTCACTGGCATAATCTAGAGGAGAAGAGAATTTTATTTATGGATTTTTAATATGTTATTACCCATAAGTTATGGCCATAGATAGCAATTTTACACTCAGATGTAGACTTCCTATTTAGATTATAAAATTTCTTGCCAGGTGTGGTGGCTCATGCCTGTAATCCCAGCACTTTGGCAGGCTGAGACGTGTGGATCACCTGAGGTCGGGAGTTTGAGACCAGCCTGACCAATATGGAGAAACCACGTCTCTACTAAAAATACAAAATTAGCCAGGTGTGGTGATGCATGCCTGTAATCCCAGCTACTTGGGAGGCTGAGGCAGGAGAATCGCTTGAACCCGGGAGGCGGAGGTTGCAGTGAGCCGAGATTGCACCATTGTACTACAACCTGGGCAACAAGAGCAAAACTCCATCTCAAAAAAAATAATAATAATAACAATAAAATAAAATTTCTTTTTTTGAGATGGAGTCTTGCTCTGTTACCCAGGCTGGAGCGCAGTGGCGCAATCTCGGCTCACTGCAATCTCCACCTCCTGGGTTCAAGCGATTCTCCTGCCTCAGCCTCCTGAGTAGCTGAGATTACAGGCACATGCCACCAGGCCCGGCTAATTTTTGTATTTTTAGTAGAGACAGGGTTTCACTGTATTGGCCAGGCTGGTCTCGAACTCCTGACCTCAGGTGATCTAACCACCTCGGCCTCCCAAAGTGTAATTGTAAACCCAAATTACAGGTGTGAGCCACCACGCCCATCCTAGATGATAAAATTTCTTTGGAACTAAAAAGTTTGTATTGATGAACAAAAATCAGCCTATACTAGTGCACAATAATGTTCAATATAACTGACTCACTTATATCTGTATTTGTTACCCTGATCTGGTTTCTATCTCCATGAGGATATTTCTTTAGTGAAATTGTTTTATACTTATTGGTCCTTATTACATTAAATTGTAGAATATCCAAATTATCGTTTTTTGATGCTGATTGGTGATACACAGATCTTGTGAATTCCTATAAAGATAGTTGGAACTATCCAGTATAAGATTTTGTAATAGAATTTGGCAGTACAATTCAGGACAATTGTACCTTTTAAAATTATGTTAATTCCTTCTGTGGTGCTTAGGAAATTTATCATTGGTTCATTTTAGAAAATGTTATATTTCAGTATGCAGAGATGTATTTGCAAATTACCAAGTTACTTCTATTCAGCTGTTCAAAATATTTGCAATTGCTTTAACTATTGTGTTTTAGTGTGATATGACATATGTAAATATACAAAGCTTTTCTCACATGTACTTCTTTGCTCTCCATAGATAGAAGGATGTGGTTAAAAATGAAGAGTAGTTTGACCATAGCATCTCTATAATAATCTTCTCTTACAGTATATTGACATTCTTGATTTTTAGCAGGGCCATAACTACAAAGGGATACTTTATGTGCATATATTTGACATTTGGAACATGATTAATGTTTTTGAAAGCTTAGTACCTAGCAATGATGAACATTTTAGATATCATGCCTGTTGACACTGATAGTCTTAAATGAATGCTTTTCTCATTTCATTAAGATATTTGTTTTTTAAATTTACACATTGTATGTATTTATGAGGTACAATTTGACATTTCAATACATTTCTATGTTGTATAATGATCAAATCAAGGTAGTTAGTATATCCGTCGCTGCATGCATTTATCTTTTCTTTATGGTGAGACCATTCAAAAGCCTCTCTTCTAGCTATTTTGTAATATACAGTACCTTAATGCTAACTATAGTCACCATACTGTGCAATAGAATACCAGAACCTATTTCCCACTATCTTGATTGTAACTTTGTACCCATTGACCTACCTTTCCCCATCCTCCCCTACCCCCAGAGTACTTAGGTAGTACTTACAGTTCCCCTTCCCAGTCTCCAGTAACCACTGGTCTGTTCTCCACTTCTATGATACTAACTTTTTTTTTTTAAGATTCCACACAAGTGAGATATGCTGTATTTGTCTTCACTGTCTAGTTTATTTCACTTAACATGTTGTCCTCCATGTTCATCCATCTTGTTGCAAATGACAGGATTTCCTTCTTATTTATGGCTGAAGAGTCATTAAGGTATTTATGTAGCCAGAAAAAGTACTAATTCACACTTTTTGTGTTATCCTTTTGTCCCCCAAACAATTAAGTAGATGGATGGTTGTTTTTAATCTTGTATTTCCTTTAGAAGCTTTTAGAAGAGCTTTTAGAAGCTCTTAAGTAATCAGATATTGGTAATTATTTAAACCATGTAGGTTGAGAACCAAACTGTCAGAATAAGGAAAATCTATTTAATTCTGGCGTTAATAATTAAATAATCTTTAGGTGGTGGCATACATATTTTTGTTTTTCTTTTCTTTTCTTTTCTTTTTTTTTTTTTTTTTTTTGGAGATGGAGTCTCACTCTGTCACCCAGGCTGAAGTACAGTGGCACAATCTCAGCTCACTGCAACCTCCACCCCCCGAGTTCAAGCGATTCTCCTGCCTCAGCCTCTTGAGTAATTGGGATTACAGGCGCCTGCCACTGTGCCCAGTTAATTTTTTCGTATTGTTAGTAGAGACAGGGTTTCTCCATCTTGGCCAGGCTGGTCTTGAACTCCTGACCTTGTGATCCATCCGCCTCGGCCACCCAAAGTGCTGGGATTACAGGCATGACCCACTGCGCCTGGCAATATTTTTGTTTTTCAAAGTCAGGCCTATCTTGGTATCACTAGATAAATCAACACCAAAGGTAATGTACTGGTATATGTATACTGTTTTTTAAATATCATAATACATAGTGATTTGAAGAAAAAAATGCACTTAAGTACGAATTCCAAGTGTTATAATCACAAATAATACTTGTTTTGTTGGGCAGCTCTTCAGCATGCAGGAAGAAATCCATCCCAAAAGACCATTAATAAGTATTGGACTCCTCAAACTGCCAAACTGAATTTTGATGATTTTTGTATAATTTTAAGGAAGGAAAAACCTACTTCAAAAGCAGAACTACTAAAATCATTTAAGCAATTAGATGTAAATGATGATGGCTGTATTTTACACACTGACCTTTATAAATTTCTAATGAAGGTAAGATCAGTAAAACTGTTTTGTAATATGCATATTTTGTGAAAGAGCTTGGAATCTAGCTTTGACTACCAAAGTCTACATTAAAAATAACTATTTCATTGAGAGGTGAAATGAATTACTTACATGTTATTTACAAAGTACTTAGGGATCCTTCTGGATGAAAGGTTCTTTGTAAATAAAAGATAAAGTATAAAATTGAGCTTATGTTACCACCCCCTTGTGCTCCTATTTAATTCGTTCCTGTCCAGAACTCTTTGAAAATCAGTGATAGTTCCATATGTGATAAGTAAAAGGAAAACCAAGTATAAATGGGATTAGGAATCCATTCTCCTTTTTGGTACAATGTTAGAAAATATCATTCCCCTAAATTCAATAGCAGTTATAACTGACTCTATAGTATTCAGGTTTTAGTTACTATTTAGTAAACTGAAATTCAGCACACTTTCACAAAATTTAATAAAATTGTGAAATTTATATAGCCGCCTCATTCTTTTTTTATATATAATACTCATAATTTATAATGAAGCAATACCTTAAAACTATGGAAAAGATTAAAATGTGCTTCCACTATCCCTGTGAATAACACAGTAGTAATCATGTTGCTTTAAAATAAATCTCGTTTTTTTTTTTGTTTTTCAGAGAGGTGAGAAGATGACTCGAGAAGAAGTAAATGCCATAATAAATTTGACTGATGTAAATGCTGATGGCAAATTTGACTACATCAAGGTACATAAGCTCACATTGATGTAAATGTACATACTGTGTTGGAAAAGTGTTTTTATTTTTCCCCAGCTTTATTAAGGTATAATTGGCAAATAAAAATTGTATATATTTACATTGTACATGTAATGTTTTAATATATGTATACATTGTGAAGCAATTAAATCAGTTAACATGTCAACTAATTAACATGTCAGAAAATTATTTTTAAAGGGATGCATCTTTTTAATATTGGCAATGACATCCTTAAATATTGTGCATGAAATTTAATTTTTCCAGTCCCACAATTGCAATCTGATGACTACATTAAAAATCATATAACCAAGTTAAAAAACATGTGTGCTCACACACACAGACAGATACATACATAAACATAGAGACTCTACTCAGAAATGTACCTTTTCTGGGGTAGAAGAATCATAAAAATTATTTTGAACAAATGCAAGTCTACACGTCTTATAAAAAAAGTAATAATAAATCACCTCTCCTTGTGTAACATTTTATTTTCACTCAGAGTATGACCTCCTCATTGAATCACGGCTACATTTCACTAGGTCACTTGAGGCTGGTCAATCTGATTCAAAAAAATAAAATGTGTAACCATCAATAGGAAATATATTCCATCTATCAGTCTATTCCTTGCCTACTAATGTGCATTTGCTTTCTCCTCTTCCCCAATGTATGATTGAATAGTTTTACCCACTGGACTTTTTTTTTTCCTGTAGTTTTGTAAATTATATATGACAACCAATGAGCAATGTCTCAAGACTACACTAGAAAAACTAGAGGTTGATAGTAAAATGAGGCGTCACCAGTTTGGAAACCACATCGAAGGGTCCCCTGAAAGGGACCCATCACCAGTACCAAAACCATCACCTAAAATCATAAGAAAAACCGATCAGGAAACATTCTCAAATAAAGGTATTTACTTTTAACACTAAGAACTTCTTGATCAGAAATGAAGAGTCATATTCAGATAAATTTTTCCTTCCATTTCAGCTTCTCAGTGATAAAACAAATGAGAATCTAACTTTTGTTAGCTACCATTTCTAGATTCTCTTAGCTGTAAAAATCTATTGAAGTAAAATTTTATTATGGAACTTGACTTAGCTATGCTCATTATATTTTATTAAAACTAAAATTTCAGACTGAAAGGTGACATATTCAAATAAGAATTCTTATTAGTAGCCCATAAATTAGGGACCATTAAAGCCTGATAAATATAAAACTTCTGACTTTATTTCAATGGGGAGAACAAAGAGAGTCAAAGTAATACAATAGATCTTTTATACTGCATTGTGTTTGGAAAAAAACTCCTATTGACAACTTTTCATAATGTGAGACCAAATAATCATTACTTGTTGCAGGTGACACCAGGAGTTCTTTACTGTCAGCAACCAGGAAGTTCAAAACATCTGTTTCCTTCACAATTACCATGGGGGCTAATGGTAACCGAAACTCAAAGTTAACGGAGCCAAATTTAATAAAGGTATAGTATTTTAAGTTAACAGAGATGACTTTTTCTGAAAAAAATTTGACATTAAGTTTATTAATAACTATGCAGTGTCTACAGGGAACCAGTAAAGTTTATGAAGTAATTCAAGGTTTTTCTGTGGAATTTCTACCTATAAGCTAGTGTAATACTTTTAAATTAAAAATGATGAATATTATTATAAGCTCTTCAGTTTTAAAATGGTAACACTCAAGTTTTATAACTTGATGAGTAGATTATCAAGTTATATACTTTGGCAAGCAAATTTTTTGTTTTGTTTAACAAATATTTACCATAAGTGTTTCTTATAAATAAATCATTCATTCAATTTCAAGTCCTATGAGAGAATGACAACAAAGTCACTTTGCTAAGTCAATATTTGTAGAGTGTTAATATTGATCTTCTTTCTTTGTTTTCCCTTTCTAGACTCAACCTTTACTAGTTTTCCTTCAACAGAAAATAATAGCTACAGAAATAGAAAACATTAACTGGAAACTGCTAGGATACATTAAAAATGTGCACCTAGAGACCTCTGTAAAAGGGGAAAAAATGGTTATGATCACATACTGTAACTGCTGTTAGAAAACTGAACTGATTGTTCTCAAGAGCCACATTTTTGTTTCAAATAACAACTCTGTATTTGTTATTGAACTCTAAAGTCCCTTATATCTTTAAATTGCTAGACAGTGACATTTGTTCTATATTAAAATTTTAAAACATTATCTCCAGGGAATTTTGTTCAGACTGTTTAGGAATCTATACACCCTAAGCAATTTGGTGTGCATGTCCAACATGTTCATACACAATATTTAGTGTTCCAACAATATTATTTTCCACCAGTGGAAACTTTTTGTATTTTGCAACTAAATTAATTATTAATAAAATTAACTTAGTTACATAATTATGGTTTACCTGATTCAGAAGCACAAATAAATGTAATTTTAGCCACTCTAAAGAGAGATATAAATAAATATTAATGTGGATTATGTTAAGTTATAGTAAGACTTTGTCTCTGTGTCATTAGTTGGGCTCATACCAATATAATTTTAAAAATTTAGTTCAATTCAACAAATATTCACTAAGCATGTAACGTGTGCCAGTTATTTTGCTTAGTGTAAAATATGAGCTTGAATTTAAAAATATAAATTTTCATTTGACTATTAAGAGTATACCAAGATAGTGTAGCATAGTATTTATTCATTCATTTATTCAACAAATATTTATTGAATGACTACTCTGTGCCAGTGTTCTAGATGTTGATGAGATTAGTGATCTAGAGTTTTGGATAGAGATCTACCTCGGCTTGAATCTTAGCTTTATCACTTCATAACTGACCTTGGGCGAATTAGTCAGCAGCCCTTCAGAGTTTCAGTTTTCTTATCCATAAATAAGGAATAATTATATTTAGTGTGCTTTGGAAAGATTTAAATCATACGTAAACATATGTAAAGCATTTAGCACAATGCCAAGGACATTAATAAATAATAGTGTTAATGTTAATACTATTTATTATAAAGAACATTAATAAATACTAGTATTAATATTATAGAACTAAGAAATAACTGGGTGCTTGTATGGGAATTACATGATGAAAGTATAGTTTAAGAAAAGTTAATCTACTGTTGTATTATGTATAGAGACGTCAGAGACACCATCTAAGAGGCTGATAGAGTTTTCCAAATATAAAGTGATGATAACTTGGCCTAGGATAGTACCTAAATGTAATAAGGTTGGGGCAGGTGTAATAGAAAAATGCCAAAATTAGTCTGTAAGTCATAATGATTATTTAACAAAGAGACTACTTAAGTTTTGTATCAAAGTCAAGAACAGGGAATGGTGTGGATGATAATTGGGAGTGAGGTAAAAGGTACTAAGATAATTTAATGATTAAAAGAAAAGGGCATACTGTCAACTTTTTAATTCTGCAAGTTTCATATAAAATATAATGCCTTTTGGAAATAATTGATAGCTGTGTATATCTTACCTTTTAATATCCTGTTTCTGATCTTGTATTGCCCACTGTTGCTTACTATCTGCTATTTCTTAGATGAGCTGAAATTATTATTTTTTAAAGTAAGTGACCCTTTTGTTACTCAGCAGCATTCAGTTCTTTGTTTACATTTTTCTTTTCTTTTCTTTGTTTATTTATGCATTTTCTTAAGACAGAGTTTCATTTTGTCACCCAGGCTGGAATGCAGGCGGGATCTTGGCTCACTGCAACCTCCGCCTCCCAGGTTCGAGTGATTCTCTTCCCTCAGCCACCCAAGTAACTGGGATTACAGGTGCATGCCACCATGCCTGGCTAATTTTTGTGTTTTTAGTAGAGACAAGGTTTCACCATGTTGGCCAGACTGGTCTCGAGCTCCTGACCTCAAGTGATCTGCCGCTTTGGCCCCCAAAAGTGCTGGGATTACAGATGTGAGCCACCACACCTGGCCACATTTTTCTTTAATTCTTGTTTCCTCTTGGGGGGTTTTCTGGTAAAAACAGAGAACCTGCTAGACAAATTCTAAAAGAACCGTAATACTTGAAGTTTTCTTTTTTTTATTTCACAAATTTCATATATTCCTGAGGTTTTATAACCATTCTGAAAAGTACTTGGTTGTGAATATACAGAATAAATTACTGAAAGGATTGTTAAATTAATTTTCCAGATACTTCACATTTATTTTAAACAAGTTTAGGTATCTCAACTTCATGTGGAACAGAAAAGTATGGAATTGGGACAGAGAAGGAGGGACTTTTCAGAAATTAGAAAATTGTGATAGGTAAGAGTAAGCCATGTTTTAAACCATAAATCCACACAATTGGTAAAGGACTTGAATTACAAAAGGAAAATAAGATCCTTACAGGTACTATACATATATTACTTTCTATTGGCCATACTTAGTTACTATATTACTATTCTTTTTAAAATTCTGAATTCTATCCATTTATTTAGATTCTGTGATGATCAAGGAATGTCAGGAATTTTCCTTTCAGAGAGGAAAAGCTTCACTTTCCTTGCTAAGACCAGTCATGTCTAGAATTAGAGTAAGCCCCAAACTATCAGTTGTAAACTCCAGAGATGCAATACTTCCTATATTCAGATTCTTAGAGTGTGCCTACATTTATATTTTATACATGTATATTGTACAACATATGCACACACATCACACACATATGTTGTACAACCTGTATATTATAATGTCAAAACATATAGCATCTATATTATATACCATTTATATGTTATATGTATGTCTATATATGGCAATACAAATATAAACATTTTAAATTCCAAATGGTTCATTATCTGTTAATTTTTGTGAAAGCTCCATATAATAATTTTCTTATAAGTTTCTCACATTTTCAAAATGTTGATCAATTCAACCTGTCAGTTAGGTTTCAGGCCACATCAATTTTACCCTTCATAAATTATCTAAGTTTTTATTTTTAAAGTATGTATAGTTTACAATTATTTAATAACAAAAAATGCAACAACCAGTTACCTTCCTGTCTTATCATACCCGAAAGCAAATAGCCTCCTAATAAGTATGTGACATAGGAAATCTTTATAAAAAACAATAGTGATGATAATGATAGTGATGAGTTCCTCCTCTGACTAAATCTATGGCAGATCTACTGCTTAATAATTCTTTCTCACTGAAAAATTTAATAATACAGAATTTGTATGTTAAATCATTTTCATTCACTACAGTGTTCCAAGAAAAATGTAACTATACTGATATATTTGTTTTGATAACTAGAATTTTTGGCTTTAGTATTTGGTTTTGTACTTTTAAGCGTTTCCTCATACATTATGAATGAAAATAAGTAAAATTTGTATATGACAAATAAACGAAATAATAGTTCAGTTTGCACTTATATGAATGTACTCAAATTGGTAGAATACAGCACCACCTCATGCCCTATACAAGAATTACAAGCTATTATTTTATTTCTGCTTTATAATGTCAAAAAATTATATCATACATGGAATTTCTTACTCTCATTCTAAAATTATTTTCAAAACTCAACCTTCTTTCATTTTTCTCCTAATACTCAAACTGTCAGCTTAATCTATAATCCTTTCAAATTGATTTATTTGAATGAGCCAGCCAATTTGCCAGTAATTTTTTCTTTTAGTTCATAACATTTTAGTCTAGGTCCTAGAGAAAAACTTTTGTATGATTGAAAGTCTATTTGTTTGAAAGACATTTTTTTTCTTTTTTCTTTTTTTTTTTTTTTTTTTGAGGCAGAGTCTGTTGCCCAGACTGGAGTGCAGTGGCACCATCTCGGCTCACTGCAACCTCCGCCTCCCAGGTTCAAGCGATTCTCCTGCCTCAGCCTCCCAAGTAGCTGGGACTACAGGTGTGCACCACGATGCCTGGCTAATTTTTGTAGTTTTAGTAGAGACAGAGTTTCACCATATTGGCCAACTGATCTCGAACTCTGGCCAACTGGTCTCGAACTCTTGACCTCGTGATCTGCCCACTTCGGCCTCCCAAAGTGCTGGGATTATAGGCATGAACCACCGCACCCAGCCTTGAAATGAAATTTTAAGTTGAATAAGCATTGTATGTTTAATAACTCTGACAGATCTTAAGTTGAATGTTTCCTGTTGAACAGTAGGAGCTATAAGTTCTCCTAGTGGAGTTATTTTGAATTCAAATTGATCTGTTTATTACACTGAAGTTTGGTTGATATGAATAATGTGGTATTTGTCTTTAATAACTGTTGTTCTACCATTTTCCAGCTTTATTAATCCATATTTAATGTTATACTATGTAGTTTGTCTGCCTTTCCAAAGAAACTCACAAATTCTCTTCTATTATAGCATTATTTTCTAGACATGGAACTTAGGAAAGACTTAGAATAAAAATGTTTAACTTGTTCCCCTGTTAAATTTTATAAAGCCATGTCCTGTTAATCTGTGGCACTGCCCCAGAGGTAGCATCAGCACATCGAAAAATTCTTCCATCTTTGAGTTTCCTAAGTGGCACAAATGGTGTTTACTACCAGTGTACCAGGTAAAGTACATTATTTTTTAAAGCTTAATTTAACCATTTTTTTAAAGCTGGGGGTAGGGCTGCTGTGCTGATGATTACAATACAAATTTAAGAAATTTTCCTGCTACTAAATGCTACATTTTTAAAGTAAGAAAACCAAATAATTAAGTTTGTCTTAATACTTAAATGTGTAGAATCCTGAATGATAATGCCTTACCATACTTTATTGTAGTAGTATCATATTCACAAAGTTTCTTTTAAAAACTGGCTTTAAAAATCACTGCAGATATTTAAATGTGAAATAGGACAGAACTTAGAATATAACTTACACACTGGAGAGAAAGTAAGGAGACCTATGTTTTGGTTCTAGTTCTGCAGTCAACTGAGAACTATAGCTTTACACATATATCACTTTATTTTTCAGACTTTATCAAAAGAGGAGTCTGGACTAGATTGCTTTTTAGATTTCTTCTACCTTTAAGAGTCTGTAATTCTAAAGTATTATCCTTTACCTTTCCAAATAGGTAAATATAAAAAATATAAAGTATATTAGATGAAATTCCATCTGATGCTATAATCAAAACTGATTGAAAACATTTAAATGTTTTCTATTTAATGTCAGAATCATAATTCAAACTGTCTCAACATGTAAATTGTCTAAATACTGTATAGCATTTCTTTCATTTCTATTCTTTAGCAGTCATCACCAGCCAAGGTCATGTTGATTATTTTAAGGACAGTTGAGTCTGAGGTAATGCCAGCATCTGTTGTTAGTCCATATATGTGCCCATCCAAGAGATTTACAGGGAAGCTAAATGAAAGCCTGTGTATCATTACTCATTGTTAATAGTTGAACTTGGGCCAGGCGCAGTGGTTCAAGCCTGTAATCCCAGCACTTTGGGAGGTCGAGGTGGGCGGATCACTTGAGGTCAGGAGTTCGAGACCAGCCTGGCCAACATAGTGAAACCTCGTCTCTACTAAAATTACAAAAAATTAGCTGGGCGTGGTGGCAGGCCCCTGTAATCCCAGCTACTCGGGAGGCTGAGGCAGGAGAATTGCTTAAACCTGGGAAGTGGAGGTGGCAGTGGGCCGAGATGGTACCACTGCACTCCAGCCTGGGTTACAGAGTGAGACCATCTCAAAAAAAAACAAAAAGTTGAACTTCAACTTCTGCTTCTGCCACAAGCCCAAGTTTGAACCTCATTGTATCACACAGATAATAAAAAATTTGAATTTGGTACCCTGAGTAGATTTTCTTTTAGAAACATAGTCTAAATGCAGAGTCCAAAAGTCGTGGACACTAGACCTAATATTACTACAAACTCCTTATAAAACTCTGAACCCATATAACCTCTGGCTACCTCAATTTTTCTGTTTATTAAAATGACTAATTCATATCTACCCCATACTGCCTCATAGGGATGTTGTTGAAATATCATATATAATGACTTGTTTCTGTCATGGGCAATATACTTAACAAGATAAATTTCAGTAAGTTAAGGTCACATCTTAATTTCTTAGAATTAAAAATACACATATCTTGTATACCCCAAAGGTGTGACAGTGCAGCTGATTAGTGACTGACTGAAAGCTTGAGTATAGTTCAGCTTATAATGATAAAATCTTAAAATGCAGTTGAAAAGGAAATTTCCAAAGAAAAGATAAAGATAAAATAGAAAACTTGTATAAATTGAGAAATAACCAAAATGAAAATAGAAGGAATAGAGAAAATACATTCATTAACACTCACAGAGTGGTTAATATCTAAAATAGTCAAAATAATTTATTAAAATATGTCAGAAAAATGCTAAGTCTGCAATAGAGTTATGAGAATAGGTGAATGGGTAATTTATACAAAAGAAAACAAAAATAATGAACACATGAGGGAAATGTTCAACCTTGGTATTAACAATCAGATAAATTGAAATTAATGCAAAAGTTATTACAATACCATTTTTACTATCAAATACTCGAGACATATACAAATATATGGAATACCATAATGAATGCTTTATGTACCCACACCTTGCTTATGAAGTCATCCCACATCACCCAATTTTTTTCACAATAAAACAATACCAAATAATGGTAAAATTATTACATTATATACCATTGGTGGTATTGTAAAATTGGCAGTACTGTTTTATAAAGCAGTATGGGAACACATGTCAATAGCCTTAAAAATATACAAAATTTTTTGCCTGAAAGTTCTTCTCAAGGAAATTATTCATCAGAAGAAAAACATTTAGACAAAAAAGTATTCTATTAATATTGTGATAAGAAATTAGAAATGACCTAAATGTCTAACACTTTAGAAATAGTTAACTAAGTAATGGTATACCAACTCAATGTTTGTTTGTTTGTTTTTGAAACGGAGTTTTGCCCTATTACCCAGGCTGGATTGCAGTGGCATGATCTCAGCTCACTGCAACCTCCGCCTCCCAGTTTCAAGCAATTTTCCTGCCCCAGCCTCCTGAGGCTGGGATTACAGGCGCCCATCACCACACCCGGCTAATTTTTGTATTTTTAGTAGAGATGGGGTTTCACCATGTTGGCCAGGCTGGTCTCGAACTCCTGACCTCAGGTAATCCACCCACCTTGGCCTCCCAAAGTGCTGGGATTCCAGGAGTGAGCCACCATGACCGGCCCCAACTCTATTTTTAATCATAGAACCATTTAAATTGAAATTTTGAATATTGCATAGCAAAATGGTTTTCTTGTGGTAAAATACACAAAACATAAAATGTACCATTTTACTCATTTTTAAGTATACAGTTCTGTGTCACTAAGTACATTCACACTGTTGTACAACCATCACTACCACCACCATACATCTCCAGAACTTTTTCATCTGGAACTCTATTCATTAAACAGCAACTCCCCATTTCCCCCTCCCCACAGCCCCTGGCAACCACCATTTTCCTTTCTGTCTCTCTGAATTTGACCACTCTAGGTACCTCATATAAGTGGAATCATACAATATTTGTTCTTTTGTGTCTGGCTTATTTCACTTAGCATAATTTCTTCAAGACTCATTCATGTATAGCATGTGCCAGAATTTTATTCCTTTTTATGACTGAATAATATTCCCTTGTATGTATTTACCACATTTTGTTTATTTTTCTGTCAATTGGCATTTGGGTTGTTTCTACCTTTTGGCTATTGTGAGCAGTAATGCTGTGAACATTGGCATACATATCTGTTTGAGTCCCTGCTTTTAATTCTTTTGGGTCTATACCCAGAAGTTGGAATTGCTAGATCATATAGAATTATAGGTTTGCTTTTTTGAGAAACTGCCATATTGTTCACAATGGCTTCACCATTTTATGCATTTTATGTTCCTATCAACAATGCACAAGGGTTCCAATTTCTCCACATACTCACCAACACTTGTCATTTTCTGTTTTTTTGATAATAGGTATCCCAATGGGTATGAGGTGGTATCTCATTGAAGTTATGATTTGTCTTTCCTTAATGATTAGTGATGTTGAGCATCTCTTCATTTGCTTATTGGCCTTCTAAATATCTTCTTTAGAGAGTTGATCATTTGATGATTCCTTTGCCCATTTAAAAAATCGGTGGTTTGTTTTGTTGTTGTTGAATTGTAAGAGTTCTTTATATGCTCTAGATATTAATCCCTTTTTGGATATGTGATTTGCAAATAATTTCTCTCATTTCATGAATTGCCTTTTCATTCTGTTGGTAGTGTCCTTTGATGCACAAAAGTTTTTAATTTTGATGAATTCCAATTTGATTGTTGCTTGTGCTTTTGTTGTCATATCCAAGAAACCATTGCCAGATCCAGCGTCAGCTTTCCCCGTATGTTTTCTTCTCAGAGTTTTATAATTTTAGCATGTTTAGGTCTTCAGTTTATTTTGAGTTAATTTTTATGTATTGCGTAAGATAAGAGCCCAGATTTATTCTTTTGCAGATGGATATTCAGTTTCCTCAGCCTCATTTGTTGAAAAGACTGTCCTTGCCTTCATTGAATGATCTTGGCACCATTGTTGAAAATCATTTGACCATATATGCAAGGATTTATTTCTGGGCTAACCATTCTATTCTACTGTTCTATATGTCTGTTTTCATGCTAGTACCACACCATTTTGATTACTGTATCTTTGTAGTAAGTTTTGAAATTAGAAAGTATGAGTCCTCTAGCTTTATTGTTTTTCAACAGCAAAATATTTTGGATATGAAATTAAATTTTAAAAGCAGAACATAAAGCGGTGTTTATTAAAATGTAAAAAATAGGTTTCTGTGTAAGGTCTGTATTAGAAAGGATTACATGAAAATCTAAGTAGGGCATTAGAATTATAGAGATTTTTAAATTTTTAAATGTGTTATTTTAAATGTATCAAAATATAAAATATGAAAATAATTATGACATAAAATAGAAAAATGAGATGTAAGTATGTTAGGATAATTTAGCCTTCTTTTAAAAATGTGAGCATGAACATGAAACCAATCTCAATGTAAATTATTTTTGCCTTTGCAGTGCCATAACAAATCTTTCTATAATGAATTAGAAAACATTTATGATGTTATTGTTATAGAGCTAACATACACCTTTTCAGTAGTTATCAATATTATTAAAGCCTTGAACTGATTATCTAAATATTCTTACTTACATTTCAGGCAGGCAAGCCTACTAATAATAAAGTGAAAAGCATTTTTGCACATAGCTATGGTAATGACACAATTTCTTGTAACTTCAGTAAAGAATCTTCTACTTTGTGTCCAAGCATTTTCAAGTTTTATTCTTTTCTTTTTTGAGACAGAGTCTTGCTCTGTCTCTCAGGCTGGATGGAGTGTAGTGGCACGATCTCGGCTCACTGCAAGCTCAATCTCCCGGGTTCAAGTGATTCTCCTGCCTCAGCTTCAGTGTAGCTGGGATTACAGGTGTGCACCACCACGCCTGACTATTTTTGTATTTTTAGTAGAAACAGGGTTTCGCCAATGTTAGCCAGTCTGGTCTTGAACTTCTGACCTCCAGTGATCCACCCGCCTCGGCCTCCCAAAGTGTTGGGGTTACAGGTGTGAGCCACTGTGGCTGGCCAGGTTTTACTCATTTCTAGTTATGAGATCCCATATATTAATTCAGACAAGAAGGAATTTGGCTAGACCAAGAAATGGTAAATGGTAAAGCCAATATAGAAAAGTCTTTCTCAAAAGTGATACTTTATATTCATCAGCATTGTTCTGTTGTGAACCTTTTTTTTTTTTTTTTTTTTTTTTTGAGACAGAGTCTCCCTCTGTCATCCAGGCTGGAGTGCAGTGGCATGATCTCTGCTCACTGCAACCTCTGCCTCCTGGATTCAAGCAATTCTCCTGCCTCAGCCTCCTGAGTAGCTGGGACTACAGGCGTGTGCCACTATGCCCAGCTAATTTTTGTATTTTAGTAAAGACAGGGTTTCACCATGTTGGCCAGGCTGGTCTTGAACTCCTGACCTCATGATCTGCCTGCCTCGGCCTCCCAAAGTGCTGGGATTACAGGTGTGAGCCACTGTACCCGGCCAGCTGTGAAACTTTTATTCAGCATGCTTCTAGTTATCTACACTTGAAACAATTATTTTGCTTTTACATTTAAAGTCATTTTTTCTTTCAATATATTTATTTTAGCAATCCTTAATTCTTCCTTCTTAACATGCTCCTAGCACTAATCTCTCTCTATTACAGCAACATATTTATTTATTACTTTTCTTCAATACTTCATTTTTCTTTTTCTTTTTTTTTTATTTTTGAAACGGAGTCTTGTCCTGTTGTCCATGCTGGAGTGCAATGGCATGATCTCAGCTCACTGCAACCTCCGCCTCCCCAGTTCAAGTGATTCTCCTGCCTCAGCCTCCCGAGTAGCTGGAATTACATGCACCCAGCATCATGCCCAATTAAATTTTGTACTTTTAGTAGAGACAGCGTTTCTCCCCATGTTGGCCAGGCTGGTCTTGAACTCCTGACCTCATGATCTGCCCACCTCAGCCTCCCAAAGTGCTGGGATTACAGATGTGAGCCACTGCACCCAGCCAATTTTATTTTTCTTGCCCTTCTTTACTATGTCTTTTCCTAACTTTTCATTATTGAAATGCTATCTATTCTTCATAATATAGTTCATCAGTTGCACACTCAGTTTACATCAGTCCCCCCACCCCAATCAGTTAGACAGTAAATATTTGTTGGGCCAATGTGTTAGGCACTATTTTAGTAACTTGAATAATAGTAAATTCTTTTGCATGTATAGTTATCTCTTTGTGTTAACCATATATTACTGCCAATTATAATTGGATTTTTTTGAGACGGAGTTTCGCTTTTGTTGCCCAAGCTGGAGTACAATGGCGCAATCTCGGCTCACTGCAACCTCTGCCTCCCAGGTTCACGTGATTCTCCTGCCTCAGCCTCCTGAGTAGCTGGGGTTACAGGCATGTGCCACCACGCCTGGCTAATTTTGTATTTTTAGTAGAGACAGGGTTTCTCCATGTTGTTCAGTCTGGTCTCGACCTCCTGACCTCAGGTGATCCGCCCACCTTGGCCTCCCAAAGTGCTGGGATTACAGGCGTGAGCCACCATGCCCTGCCTATAATTGGATTTTGTTATGTTTGTTTTTTACCTCCTAACTATGTTGCACATTCCTGGAGAGCAATGATTATATTTGACATTTCTTTTATATCCCCCTGCATTTTCTCCTCATTACTATGCATACTGGAAACATTTAATAAATATTGTTTGAAATAATTTTTTCCTTCATTTCAGGACTGGCAATACATGCAATCAAAAGGTTGCTTTTTCTTAGAAGAAGATGGTGAAATCATTAGTCATCAGTACAGGATGCAAATAGCTCAGAGGTCCATGGTTTATCTAACAATTAAGCCATTAAATCTGAGTCAAGTTGAAGGCAAGTTTAAATTTTTTGTATATTTTTTAAATGTCAAGTTGTACCCTCTTTGAAAGTACTTATGTAAGTATTCCATAGTCCTAATTAGGAAAGAAAATAATCTGCCTAAGTGAGAAACATAATGGTTACATTTCAAGAAAGTGTTGGCCTATACGTGGCCTGTGTTAATCATATGAAAAGCAAGTAGATTGCTTTGTGTATATGTTTAAAGCATGTTTTATTAAAAACAATAACTTTTTCCAAACCTTTCTACAGCTAAGATAGAAGAAAATAAACAAAACAAAAAAAAATGTTAACTGGTTTCCTCATGATATAGAACTAACTTTTTTTTTTTTTTTTTTTTTGAGACAGAGTCTCCCTCTGTTGCCTAGGCTGGAGTGCAGTGGCTCAATCTTGGCTCACTGCAACCTCTGCCTCCTGGATTCAAGTGATTATCCTGCCTCTGCCTCCCTGAGTAGCTGGGACTACAGGTGCACATCACCTCGCCCGCCTAATCTTTTTGTATTTTTAGTAGGGACGGGATTTCACCATGTTGGCCAATCTGGTCTCAAACTCCTGACCTCAGGTGATCCACCCACCTCGGCCTCTCAAAGGGCTGAGATTACAGGTTCAAGCCACTGTGCTCAGCCAGAACTAAGTTTTTATTTGCTAATTAATCTTAGCTTTTTCCATTTGTCAGTTTTTAAAATTAATATGTCAAAGAGAAGTTCTGCAGGGGCATAATTTGGAACATATGAAACTGCAAGTATTTTTAATACCTTCAAAATCCTTTGTGACTTAGACAATATTTATTAATAATCTTTGTATTAATGGTAATAGTCTAGGTAAAAATTAATACTTTTCTAGTGTCTAAAATGGTTATGTAATTTTTAAGCAATGAAAGCTATCTATCTATAAGGGTGATTTCCCTAGATACCTTTTTTAATGTTGGTTGTTCTAAATCAATATTTATTTTTCTTTTATAATGTTTACATACAAGCATTTTCTTCCTAGAGGATTCCCCTCCCCATTCTCTTTCCCTCCTAAAGTAGAGATTTTGAAAGTTTTTACTGCATCTTTTGTGGGATATGTATAATATTTGGCAGATGATACTTTTAAATGACAATAACAATAGTTATTTTTCAGAGAGAGGAACCAAGATAGCCCTGCAAATTCAGTGTAGTTGTTAATTCTCTGTATTCTTATTAATAAGATTCATTCATTTATCAAATAGCTATCAAGGGCATTATATGCTGGACATCAATTTAGGTGTTTAGGATACATTAGAGTTCAAAAAAGACAAAAATCCCTTCCCTCATCAACTTTCATTTTAGTGGGGGAAACAATACATAATAAACATAATAAATAGTAAATGACGTGGTATGTAGGAAAGTGATAAGTGTTATGGGAAAATCAGAGGGAAAAGGGGATAGTGAATGCTGAGGGAATGTGGGTTGCCATGGAGATGGAGTGGTTAGTATATGCTTCGTTAGGAAGCTGTCATATGGATAAAGATTTTGAAAGAGATGTATGAGTTACCAACTGCTACATAAAAAACTACCCCAGAACTCAGTGGCTTAAAACAATTAAACATTTGTTCACTCATGAATCAGTGGATCTGTTAGTTCTTAGTCTGAGCCAGGCTTGTTTTTTCTCTGTAGGGGTTGCTCACACAGTTATGGTTAGTTACAGGTTAGCTGGTGGCTGGCTTTGCTAATCTTGGCTGGGTTCTCTCTCATGTATGAAGTCCCAGCTGGGATAACTTGACTCGGCTTCATATGATCTTTAATAATCCTTCAGTAAACTAGCCTGGACCTGTTCTCTTGGTATAACAGGGATCTGAAAACAAAACAAAACAAAACAAAAGCGGAAGCACAATAGAACCTCCTGAGGTCTGGGCTCAGAAGCAGCACAATGTTACTTCGTTATATTCTGTTGCTCACAGAAAGTCACAAGGCAAGTCCAGATTCATAGGCTGGGGAAATAGACTTGATCTCTTGATGGAAAAGCTGCGAAGCCACATTGCAAAGGGCTGTGGATACTGGGGGGAACAGCCATTTTTGCTGTCTTCCACAGAGGGCAAGGGAGTAAGCCTTGTGGGTGTATGGTGCTGGAAGGGATGGGTGAAGATGGAGGAGGTTGCAGAGCATTCCAGGTAGAGAGAATGTTCTGTGCAGAGGCTCTGTGAGAGTGTACTGGTGTTAGAAGAACAGAGGCTAGAGTGTCTCAAATGAAATAAGTGAGGAGAGAGTTGTAGGAGATGAAACTGGGGAGAAACAAGGACAAAATCAGGAAGAGGTTTCTTTTTGCCATAATTAGGACTTGGGCTTTTAATCAGAGAAATGAGGTTTTCCCCTTCATTTTTTGTGAGATGCTTTTCCTCATATATAAGGTCAAGATTTTCTTTTTTTTTCTTTTTTTTTTTTTTTGAGACGGAGTCTCGCGCTGTCACCCAGGCTGGAGTGCAGTGGCCAGATCTCAGCTCACCGCAAGCTCCGCCTCCCGGGTTCACGCCATTCTCCTGCCTCCGCCTCCCGAGTAGCTGGGACTACAGGCGTCCGCCACCTCGGCCGGCTAGTTTTTTGTATTTTTTAGTAGAGACGGGGTTTCACCGTGTTAACCAGGATGGTCTCGATCTCCTGACCTCGTGATCCGCCCGTCTCGGCCTCCCAAAGTGCTGGGATTACAGGCTTGAGCCACCGCGCCCGGCCAAGATTTTCTCTTAATCTTTCATTTTCAGCAGTTTGAATGTGTGTCTAGGTAGTTTTTGTTGTTGATGCTATTGCCTGGGTTTTTTATTTTTTGGTATTTATCCTGCTTGGGGTTCTCTGAGCTTCTTGGATTTGTGGCTTGTTGCCTTTCATTATTTTTAGAAAATCCTCTGCCTTATTTCTTCAAATATTTCTTCTGCCCCCTTTCTTCTTCTTCCACTTGTTTGGTACCTGACATCTCTTCCTTCTCTGCTCCACCACAGGGTCAGCCAGTGTTTGCATCTCATCTCTCCTGGGAAAGATCTGTCTTTCCTTGGATTTTAAGCTTATAGTTGCCCTGCAACCCCAGCTCTGATGGGATCAAGAAAAGTTATGATGTTGTAGTTCATTAACTTTTTCTTATTGTTAGGAAAGGAGCAATATTCTCCCAACTCTCTGCTCCATTAGAGAGTTTTGAGTAGAAGGCAGGACATAATCTGACTTATGTTTTAACAAGAGCGATTAGGTTACTGTATTGAAAGTAGATGGAAGGATATGCAGGTGAAAGCAAGGAATCCAGCTGGGACATTATTGTAGAATTCTAGAAGAGGCCTGGGAATGCTTTGAACCAGGATATAGGTGGGAGAGGGGGTAGTAGAGATTCTGGGTATATTTTGAAGGCAGAACCATAGGATTTCCTAAGGATTGGTCTTGGTATGTGAGAGAAGAAAAGAGTTAAAGAAGATTCCAAGATTTTTGACCTGAGCAACTGGAAAGAATGAGTTACCATTAACTGAGATGGACAGTGTTTTAAAAAGAGATTAGGGAAGTTCAGTTTTGGAAATAGAAATCCAGGTAGAAATGTTAAATACACAGTTAGTTATATGGGTCTAACATTCAGAGGAAGGATCCTAAAGATATAAATTTTGGGGTTGTCAGCACATAGATGTCTGACATCTCTTCCTCCTGTGCTCAACCACAAGTAAGCCAGTGCTTAAATCCTATTTCTTTCTGAAAAGTCTGTTTTTCCTTGGATTTCAGGCTAATTGGTTGCCCTGCAACCTCAGCTTTTGATGAGTTCAAGAAAAGTTATAATTTTTAGAAAGTGAGTATATAGAAAATGTTTCTCACTAGGTCGCTGTATTTAGGTTTGTGCCTTATTGTAAAAGCTATCATGTTTGCATATAAAAATGGAATATGGGCTGGGTGCGGTGGCTCACGCCTATAATCCCAACACTTTGGGAAGCCCAGGAAGGTGGATCATGAGGTCAGGAGATCAAGACCATCCTGGCCAACATGGTGAAACCCCGTCTCTACTAAAAATACAAAAATTAGCTGGGTGTGGTGGCTAATGTAGTCCCAGCTACTCGGGAGGCTGAAGCAGGAGAATCACTTGAACTCTGGAGGTGGAGGTTGCAGTGAGCCGAGCACACCACTGCACTCCAGCCTGGGTGACCAAGTGAGACTCTGTCTTGAAAAAACAAAAAAGGAATATGTATTTCTAGAGAAAATATCTAGAAAAGAAGTTACTAGAAAAGAAGAAACTAGTAACTTCTTTTTTATATAGGAAAGAATAGATAGTGATTGCTTATTTTAAGGTGTTTGGGCTTTTTTTTTGTTTGTAGGAAAACCATCCCCTTGGTTATCCGTTGATACTGCCTTGTATATTCTCAAGGAAAATGAGAGTCAAGCAAATCTACAGCTTGTGTGTTTTACCGAACTACGAAATAGAGAAGTATACATATTTATTTTCTAATGTTTAATTTTAAAATATAGTATGAACTGCAGTTTGGGGAAAGTATGTTTCTACATTTTATTTTTTAAGCTTTTATATACCTTCCAATTAAGGTATAAACAGCACTTAAACACTATAGATATTATGTTTTTAATTTAATCACATCAAATTAAATTAAATTAGTTAAAGTAAATATTTAATTTAATTATAAAGAATTTTTTCTTGTTTGCTGCAATTTCTTAAGAATTAAGGATAGGAGCTGGGCATGGTAGCATGCACCTGAAGTCCCTGCTACTTGGGAAACTGAAGCAGGATGATTACTTGAGCCCAGGAGTTCAAAGCTATATTATTCTATGATTGTGCCTGTGAATAGCCACTGCACTTCAGCCTGGGCAACATAACAAGACCCTGTCTCTAAAAAAAAAAATTAAATAAAGAATTGAGGATTGGTTGGCAAGTTTGAGTCTTGGCTTATACGTTTTAAGTTGTATAATATTGTACCTTACTTTCATCTTTTCTAAACGCCCTGATGCCTCACATGTGAACATTTGATATACTCAATAAAAAAGGTTGATGCCAGTACATTTTTTTCCCCTAAATGCAAGCAATTCAAGACTTTGGAAAAGCTGCTGTAGATGTTTGTCTTACTTATATTACTACTGCAAAACAGAAAAACTTTAAGATTACTATCAGGCTTGACTTATTTTATAGGGTTCAAAAATAGATTGATATGAAAAAATGCTTTTAAATGTTTTTATATGTTGCCCATGGGGTTCTTCTGATCTTTTCTAATTATGTATTTACTCAAAGGCCAAATATGTGAGGCCGATACATAAATGTGGCTATTTATTTTATGAGGACTACAAAATACATCTGCTACACAGCAACAGAAATAATACTATTCAAGGGCTTACTGCAATATCCTATTTAATCTTTATATAGGCTCAATGACAGACAGACATTTCCCTGATAGAATGTTATATAAAAGTCTTTACTGTAGGCTTCCTAACAGACAAGAATAGGCAAGAAACAAATAAAATTGGCTGAAGTTAATGTTTTGAATAAACTCTTCTTCAGAACTGACTACAAAGTAAGCATTGTCTAAAACAATATCTATTTCCACTTTGTTTTGGGTAAAATTACTTTCTTATGGGATTGCATGGATAAAAAAATTAGTATATAGCAAAACCATAATAAAGTTTGCATGAGTTTCTATTTACCTCTTTATAGGCGTCTGTTTATCTGTAATATGTTATATTTACAAAGGATTTTTTATTTGTATTTATACTTTCACAATTATTTTCTTATAGATGAGTTTTGTGCCCATGAAAAAACTTTCCATTTGCCATCCACAGTGGCAATGCAAAGTTATATGTGGGCATAAGGAAGGATCATGGGATAATATATATTAGGAAGCAGTGAGATCTGGTTTTTCACTCCTGAGTCCACATCTGGTCAATTTCAAAGGTTATGCTTTTCAAAGGATGGATTTGGTAAGCATTTAGTCTTTTTTTTTTTTTTTTTTAGACGGAGTCTCGCTCTGTCACCAGGCTAGAGTGCAGTGGTGCAATCTTGGCTCACTGCAACCTCTGCCTCCCAGGTTCAAGCGATTCTCCTGCCTCAGCCTCCCAAGTAGCTGGGACTACAGGCACGTGCCACCATGCCCAGCTAATTTTTGTATTTTTAGTAAAGATGGGGTTTCACCATGTCGGTTGGCCAGGATGGTCTCGATCTCCTGACCTCATGATCCGCCTGCCTTGGCCTTCCAAAGTGCTGGGATTATAGGCTTGAGCCACCATCCCTGGCCAACGATTAGTCTTAAAAATGACTTTCAGTTATATTGGATTTCTTCTTGTATCAAAATAGGACATAAGAAGATTATGATTTCTCTGATTTGGCAGGGCAGAAATAGAACTAAACTCAGAATTTAGATGAGCAGCTTTATTTTGTATATGAGTCTTCAGAATGACCTAAAATATACCTAAGTTGTTTTTTGTTTGTTTGTTTATTTATTTATTTAGAGATAGGGTCTCACTCTGTCACCCAGGCTGGAGTGCAGTGATACAGTTCCCTGTAACTTTGAACTCCTGGGTGAAAATGATCTTCCTGCCTTCGCATTTCAAGTAGCTAGGACTACAGATGTATTATTATTATTATTATTGTTATTATTTTTAGAGATAGGATCTTGCTATGTTGTCCAGGCTGGTCTCCAATTCCTAGCTTCAAGCAATCTTTCCACCTTGGCTTCCCAAAGTGCTGGGATGATAGGTATGAGCCACTGTGTCTAGCCTTATACCTGGGTTTTGAAAGGAATTTTTGGACATAATACCTGAAAGGATTCTTTTGGATTAGTCTGTGCTGAAGGGCACTTAGCTATTATACACAACTAAGAATTCCTTAGATTTAATATATTTAACAGAGACAGCTGCTAGCTTTTATAGGAAGCCTTTGGGCTCCAAAAAGCTCTTAGGAAGTACATAGACAGATACCATTTGCTTTCTTTCTTTTTTTTTTTTTTTTTTTTGAGACAGAGTCGTGCGCTATCGTGTACAGTGGCACGATCTCGGCTCATTGCAACCTCCACTTCCGGGGTCAAGTGATTCTCCTGCCTCAGCCTCCGAAGTAACTGGGATTATAGACGCCCACCACCATGCCCGGCTAATTTTTGTATTTTTAATAGAGGCGAGGTTTCACCATGTTGCCCAGGCTGGTCTCAAACTCCTGACATCAAATGATCCACCCACCTCAGCCTCCCAAAGTGCTGGGATTACAGGTGTGAACCACCATGCCCAGCCTGCTTTCTTTTATAGAACTGGAGAATAAAATGTTTTCCTATACAGATGTTCTGGTACTCATGATAAATATCCAACATTTGATAGGAAACAGAATTTCATATAAAGCTGATTTATTTGGGATTCTGCATCTTTTTTTATAGTCCATATTACATTTAAAAAAGTAAAATTCCAGTGCTTTCATCCAAATAATTGAACTCTTACAAATGTGGTTAATTTATACAGTAGCGAACCATTTCAAAATATATTTAATTTTTATTTTATGTCATTGAAATCTGATTTAGAAATCATATATTTATATTTGAATCAAATTAGGAAACCATAATCTAGAATATTATTACTTTTTTTTAAAGGAGCTCAGTGTTCACATTAAAAAATTACCCTATGATTTATCTTTGCTTTCTGTTGAGGGTATTTGCATCACAGATATTTTTGAAGATTATTGGGGAAGATTTAGAAGATAATATAACTTACCTGTTACAGTTTTAGGCATTTGTTTCAAAAATATATAAAGGACTACTATATCTAGTGATCTCATAATGAGATTACCATTAATAAAATGAATTTGAAACCTGTAAAAAGATTGATAGAACTATAATCGATTTTGTAAATATTTATTTAAAAATTATTTCTAATGTGTCCCTTTCAGAAGAAATATTAAAAGCTTTAAATTAAAAGATGAAAAGATTAAGACTGATGATTGTTTTGTTTCATTGTTTTGAGAAAAGGTGTTTGGATGGACTGGTGAACTAGGACCTGGAATTTACTGGTTAATTCCTTCTACAACTGGCTGTAGGCTGAGGAAAAAAATAAACCCAGTAACAGATGAAGCCCAACTTGTATACAGAGATCAAACAGGGAAATTATTCCTTACAAAGGAATTTAAGTAAGTTTTGTTTATTAATGTTAGAATTATAACATCTAGGCTGGATAGATATTTATAGCCTGTGTTACTCCCTTTCCTTTGGCCAGCTTCCACCCCCGTCCTCAGATTCTAATTCACCAATTCAACTCTTGTGACAAGCTGTATGAACTTGGAGGATGTTCTGCTGAGTTAAATAAGCCAGGCACAGAAGGATAAATACTGTATGATCTCACTTATATGTGGGAGCTTTATTATTATTATTTTTAATAGAGACAGAGTTTTGCTCTGTTACCCAGGCTGGAGTACACTGGCACAATCATAGCTCACTGCAGCCTCAGACTCTGGGGCTCAGGTGATCCTCCCACCTCAGCCTCCTGAGTAGCAGTAGCTGGGATTACAGGTGCTTGCCAGCATACCTGGCTAATTTTTTTTGAAGAGATGGGAGTCTTGCTATTATGTTGCCCAGGGTGGTCTCAAACTCCTGACCTCAAGCGAGCATCCTGCCTCAGCCTTTCAAAGTGCTGGTATTGTAGGTGTGAGCCACCACACCCAGCCTTATATGTGTGATCTTACAAAGTCAAACCCATAGAAACAGAGGGTAGAAGAGTGGTTATAGCAGCTGGGAGTGGTGGGGGGGTTGGGGACAGGTTGGTGAAAGGATACAAAATTTCAGTTTGATAAGAGGAATAAGTTCAGGAGATCTGCTGACAATATGGTGATTGTAGTTATATATTATATCCTTGAAAATTGCTAAGAGAATAGATATTAAATGTTCCCACTAGAAAAAAGGATGATAAATATGTAAGATAATGGATATGTTAATTAGCTTGATTTAGTCATTCCACAATGTATACATATATCAAAAAATCACATTGTACACCATAAATACATATATCAAAACAAAACAACTCATCCTCTGAGCATCTGAAAATGTTCCTCCATTTGCAGATCTGGGATTGTCATTTACTTCTGGGTTCCACACATTTGGCAAGTCAACTTCAGTCAAACATCTACCAATTTCTCCCTATAGGTAGAGAAGAAGAAGAAAGTAGATTGGAGAAAGGAAAAAAGAAGGGAACTACTACTATTCATTGAGTTCTTACTATGCATTGAGATACTGTGGTTGCTCTAGAAGCTTTTTTATCTCATGTAATACTGGACTGAGCCAAAACTGTATTTGGATACATTAACTTTAGTTTAAAGAAATTGTATAACATTCCTTTTGAATGTTATCCTCATAGAACCCTTCTTCAGTGTAGTTGCCTTAGTGACAAGAAATAACTAACTATTTTTATAATTTTAGGTCTACTTTATCAGATATATTTGAAGTAATTGATTTAGATGGAAATGGTCTTCTTAGCCTTGAAGAATATAATTTTTTTGAATTGAGAACAAGTGGTGAGAAATGTGATGAAGATGCTTGGGCTGTCTGCAGAGGTAAGCACTTTTCTTTTTCTTAACAGATGTATAAAAAAATATATATATAGCACATTTTCATCTCTAAGAAATAAATCAAACTTCTCCATGATATATTATTATAGCATTTAGGACAGTTTGAAAATAGTAGCATTGTTTGTAAATGCTAACATTTATTTTTCTTAAATTGGTAGTTGGTATAATACTCAACTTAAAAGAAAGTGTGAATTACTTAATCATAATTTCAGTTTTGAGCCTCTACTCTTTGGGGTTTAGAAGACAAAAAACTTGTCCTTGCGCTTGATACCACTGGGCCTGAAGTGGTCAAGAGCCACAAACTGTGACCAGGAGAGGGCAGCAAAAAGCCAAAAAGCTAGAGGTTTACTTACAAATTAAGGTTTCCAGGAAGTTGTTTATATTATACATGTTAAAAATTCTTCAATGCTTTTCGTATTTGAGTTGAATTTAAAAAGTCCATCTATGGAAATATTGAAGCCAAAATGCCAAGGTGGACAAAGAAAATCACTGAGAATGAGGCAAAGTCAGTTATCACTTAGAAGGAGTCTGAGAAGACGTACTTGCATATTTAAGCCAAAGACTGCAAGGTCAGAGGGAAAGCCAAAAAGCCATAGCCAACTATAGATCACAGAACAAGAGGTGTGAGGAGACCAGAATGCAGTCAAGAGAGGTTAACTCACGTATGCTTTCACTGGGATAGTAATGTGTGGATCTTAAAATGGTCTAAGCTTGGCAAAGTGAGCCAGGTTGGGAGTCTGTTTACCTAGACAGCAAGTAGGGTAGAAGTATATTATTTATATAAAGGAATCTTTCAGTATTTCTCTTTTAGCTGAAAGTTAATATAATCAACAACAATACATGTATATTGATTTATAATATTAAACTTTGATTAATAAAATTCATAATATACATGAGTATTATCTATAGGAAGATGTAATTATCTTGTAACTTTAACGATATAATCTTTTAATTGGCACTAGAGAACATTCTATAAGAGTGAATTTGTGGCTTTCTGATGGTAAAGTTGGTGATAAGTAAAATTCTAATTTAAAAATTTAGTTAAATTGGCAGAGTTGACGGTTAACATTTTTTGAGAGCTTACCATCTACCATGTACCAGCTGCTGCTCTATGCACTTCTACACGCCAAGTCTATGAAGTAGTACTTTATTATTCTCACTTTATAAATCAGGAAATAGAATTAGAGGTTAAGTAACTTGACCAAGGCTACACAGCAAGAAAGTTTCACAAATAGGCTCCAGAACTTTGAACTCCATACTATCGAAAAGTCTCCAAGAGTTATTGACTTAGAAAATGATTTGGAGGAATGTTTACTTTACAAACAATAATACTGCAAAGAAATGAGAGCTTTTAAGGTTTTAATGTTTCCCCTGAATAATAAGAAAATGTACTGTTTATCTGTAAGATTATTTTAATAAACTTTTTTTACACTTAAAGATGCTTTTATTTTATTTTGTTTATTAATAAACTTTATTTTTAGAGCAATTTTAGGTTTACAGAAAAACATAGGCTGGGTGCTGTGTCTCATGCTTATAATCCTAGCACTCTGGAAGGCTAAGGTGGGAGGATTACTTGAGGCTAGGATTTCAAGACCAGCCTGGACAACAGAACATATTGTCTCTTAAAAAAAAAAATAAAAAACATTGGCCTGTAATCCCAGGATTTTTTGAGTCTGGGGTGGGTGGATCACTTGAGGTCAGTAGTTCAAGACCAGCTTGGCCAACATGGTGAAACCCCACCTGTACTAAAAATACAAAAATTATCCAAGTGTGGTGGCAGGTACCTGTAATCCCAGCTACTTGGGAGGCTGAGGCAGGAGAATCACTTGAGCTTGGGAGGTGAAGGTTGTAGTGAGCCGATATCATGCCACTGCACTCCAGCCTGGGTGACAGAGTGAGACTCTGTCTCAAAAAAAAAAAAAAAAAAAGAAATAGATCCATATATTCCTCCTCACCCTCACCCACAAGTTTTCCCTATTATTCACATCTTGCATTTGTATGGTACCTTTGTTACAATTGATGAGTGAATATTGATACATAATTATTAACTAAAGTTCATAGTTTACATTAGGTTCACACTTTTTGTTCGTTTAAGATAGAGTTGCTCTGTTAGCCAGGATGGAGTGCAGTGGTACGATCTCGACTCACGGCAACCCCTGCCTCCAGGCTCAAGTGATCCTCTCACGTTAGCCTCCTGAGTAGCTAGGACTACAGGTGTGTGCCACCACACCCAGCTAATTTTTGTATTTTTTTGTTGAGATGAGTTTCACCATGTTGCCCAGGCTGGTCTCAAACCCCTGGAGGGTTCACTCTTGTCTTGTACAGGTCTATGGATTTTGACAAATATATAACATCATGTATCCACCATTACAATATCATACACAAAGGACTATCCTTTCTCCATTGAATTGCCTTTGCTCCTTTGTCAAATATCAGTTGAATATATTTGTGTCAGTCTATTTCTGGGCTCTCTATTCTGTTCCATTGATGTATTCATCATTCTTTCACCATTACCACACTATCTTGATTACTGTAGCTTTATAGTAAGTCTTAGAGTCAAGTGTTAATAAATTTTTTAAAAATTAATGAGGATTGAGAATTTTAAGTTTTAAAAGGTAGATTAGTTTTTGATAGTCTCTATAGTACAGTATCTAGATACGTTTTTTAATCTATTTGTATTATATATCAAATAATCTTTTTCATCTTGCTTTTCTACATAGTAGCTCTAACCTTGATTTTTGTGTTACTGTTTCTCTTCACGATTGAATTTAATCTGCATTTATTTTTTTCCCCTTAAAAAACATGAATAACTTTCAACTCTAAACTTTTTTTTTTTTTTTTTTGAGACAGAGTCTCGCTCTGTCATCTAGGCTGTAGTACAGTGGCACAGTCTCAGCTTACTGCAACCTCCGCCTCCCGGTCTCAAGTGATTCTCTGCCTTAGCCTCCCGAGCAGCTGAGACTACAGGTGTGTGCCAGCATGCTGGGCTAATTTAATTTTTTGTATTTTTAGTAGAGACGGGGTTTTGCCATGTTGGCCAGGCTGGTCTCGAACTCCTGAGCTCAGGCGATCCACCTGCCTCGGCCTCCCAAAATGCTGGAATTACAGGCATGAGTCACTGCGCCCGGCTTCTAAATGTTTTAAGCTATTAAATCAGTCAGCCAGTTTTAGACAGTTATGTCTCTGCTGCCTTTCTCACAATAATGCATACAAAAGAGATGCTATCTCAAATAAAAGTACCCATTTCCCTTGGGTATATTATAGATGGGAGTTGGGAAATAAAATCTTCCCTGTTGTAGGATAGCTAATAAAATATCCATAATAAATAACTACTTATTATCCATCTTATAGACAAATTCAGGAATTATGCATGTCTAGATACTTCTAGGTAAATTTAGTTTTGTTCGTAAATAGTGTTAAAATGGGCATAGACTTACCTGGGAAAATGTGGTTGATTCATGGATTCCAAAGTGCTCCCCATTATCTATCTGTCTTTCAAGACTCAGGGACAATTTAGCTAAAATTAGAGGAATCAGGCATATAGTAATCTTAAATATGACACTATTTATATCTTTCTTTCTGAAACCCTAGTAGTTTGGGGAGTATTATATCAAATTCATCCAGTTTCTGCTGACTTTAAGTGGCAAATACATATGAAGCATTTTATATAACAATGTATGCTCTAAATAGGCAGGCAGATTGGAATTTATCTAGAAATATTACAGTTTCCTCTAATTTTAGAATATATTTGCACTATTTATAATTTCAGGATTTGTTGAAAAACGAAATTGTGTACTATGATGTATCTATGCTGAGTTATGTTTTGAGCCATTTTTATTCCACTTCTATACTGCTCATAGATTCATAGGCCTCTTTTAAAATAAATATCTATGAATAATAATATATCATAGACATTTTATTAAAGTTATGAATTTTTAAATTATGTAAGAAAAAACTTTTGGTTGTTTAAACAGATAATTTTGATACAAAGAGGAATGAACTAACAAGACAAGGATTTATGGATTTGAATCTAATGGAAGCTAATGATCGAGAGGGAGATCCTTGTGACCTTTGGGTAACTCTACACTCTATGGGCTACAATAAAGCTCTGGAGTTGACAGAGGTAAAGTATTCTTAAAGTTTTGCCAGTGGGTTTAGTGTACATAATATTTTACTTTATGAACGTTTTCCTGACATATAACTTTTGAATTGGGCACCCACATCTTTGAACTTTAGTATATGAATGAATCCTGGGTGCAACAACATGTTTCTGTTAGTTTATACAAGTTCTTGTTCTCACCTGAAATTTAGTTACTGCCAACATTAAAATAATTCAAAGACAAAAGAGTTTAAACACATAATATGCAAGAAAAAAATTTGATATTAAAAAAATTAAAATTGGAAAAGGCAATTTGAGTTACTAAAGTCTCATTTATATAGGGAAACAATTTGTCTTAACAGTGTAAAGTCTCTCTTAGAATAAGGAGAATTTATCTGTATTACACCTTGGATTTCTGACCTTTTATAAAGGGTACTTTTGGGGTTAATATTTGTAAAATACTTGGAACAGTGGCTGGCTCATACAAAGCACTGTGTATGTATCAGCTATCATCATCATTATTATCATTAACATGATAGGTATAGAAGTTGAATAGGACACATAATAACTGTTCCTGATCAGTTGAACAGATTTAAAACCTTTTTTCTTACTAAATTTCTTTATTGTTTCTCATTAAATTCTTATTACTTATTTCTTTATTTTTCCTTATTAAATTCTCTAATTTAGGCTGTAGAATTACAGATTACACATTCACTGTATCAGCCTATGAAGATCCTCTGTTAAAGAGCAATATAACTTCTTTATAAGGGCATTGCCTCTTTATCACTGTAACTGAATAGTTGCTCTTTTACTGAATTTGATAGGTAAAACTTACATGTTTAGTTTTGCCCCCTTTTTGTTTTTCTGTTTTCCTTTTTAAAATAGAATTTCATGATATTAATTTCTTTCTAGATTCAGAACTGGGAGAATTTACTTTCTTTTTTAAAGTTTAAGCACTACATGACTTTCTATTTCCCTTTCGTATGGGTTAACAGGTAGTTGAGAGCTAAATATTGTGCTAAATTTAAGTAGCATCCCATAATCTAGGTTTTATTATTACAGTCTTCCCCATCTTCCTTATCACATATATTGTTAATAGTTTTACAATGAATAATTTACAGTTAATAGTTTTCTTGCTTGTTGTTTGCTTCCTATATTAAGTTAGTAGGATAAAGAAAATAAGTAAATAAAACACCAAGCCCATGAAAAGAAAAAATAATAAAACTATAGGGCAACTCTTTTAGAGGTGATAAGATTTTAATTTAAAAATTTTAGAATGTGCAAAAATCACTAGTATTCCTATATACCCACAATAGTCAAGTTGAGAGCCAAATCACGAAAGAACTCCCATTCGCAATTGCCACAAAAAGAATAAAACACCTAGGAGTACAGTGAACAAGGGGGGCCAGCAATCTCTACAAGGAGAACTACAAACTACTACTCAAAGAAATCAGAGATGACACAAACAAATGGAAAAATATTCGATGCTCATAGATAGGAAGAATCAATATCATTAAAATGGCCATACTGCCCAAAGCAATTTATAGATTCAATGATATTCCCACGAAACTACCATTGGCATTCTTTACAGAACTAGAAAAAAATTTTTAAAATTCATATGGAACCAAAAAAGAGCCTGAATAGCCAAGGCAATCCTAAGCAAAAAGAACAAAGCTGGAGGCATCACACTACCTAATTTCAAACTATACTACAGGGCTACAGTAACCAAAACAGCATACTACAGGGCTACAGTACTGCAGGGCTACAGTAACCAAAACTGGTACAAGAACAAACATATAGACCAATGGAACAGAATAGAACATTCAGAAATAAGACTGCACACCTACACCTGTTTGATCTTTGACAAACCTGACAAAAACAAACAATGGGGAAAGGATTCTCTGTTCAATAAATGGTGCTGAGATAACTGGCTAGCCATATGCAGAAGATAGAAACTGGACCCTTTTCTTACACCATATACAAAAGTTAACTCAAGATGGATTAAAGACTGAAATGTAAAACCCAAAAGTGTAAAAACTCTGGGAGACAACCTAGGCAATACCATTCAAGACATAGCCATGGGGAAAGATTTCATGGTGAAGATGCCATAAGCAATTGCAACAAAAGCAAAAATTGACAAATGGGATCTAATTAAATTAAAGAGCTGTGCAGCAAAAGAAACTATCAACAGAGTAAATAGACAACCTACAGAATGGGAGAAAATTTTTGAGCCGGGCGCGGTGGCTCACGCCTGTAATCCCAGCACTTTGGGAGGCCGAGGCGGGCGGATCACAAGGTCAGGAGATCGAGACCACGGTGAAACCTCGTCTCTACTAAAAATACAAAAAATTAGCCGGGCGCGGTGGCGGGCGCCTGTAGTCCCAGCTACTCAGGAGGCTGAGGCAGGAGAATGGCATGAACCCGGGAGGCGGAGCTTGGAGTGAGCCGAGATCGCGCCACTGCACTCCAGCCTGGGCGACAGAGCGAGACTCCGTCTCAAAAAAAAAAAAAAAAAAAAAAAAAAAAAAAGAAAATTTTTGCAAACTATGCATCTGACAAAGGTCTAATATCCAATATCTATAAAGAACTTCAACAAATTTACAAGAAAAAAAATTCCATTAAAAAGTGAGCAAATGAACAGACACTTCAAATGAAGATATACATGCAGCCAACAATCATATGAAAAAAGTTCGACATCACTGATCATTAGAGAAATGCAAATCAAAACCACAGTGAAATACCATTTCACACCAGTCCGAATGGCCATTATGAAAAAGTCAAAAAACAAAAGGTGCTGGTGAGATTGTGGAGAAAAAGGAATGGTTATACACTGTTGGTGCGAGTGTACATGAGTTCAACCATTGTGGAAGACAGTGTGGTGATTCCTCAAAGACCTAAAGACAAATATTTAACCCAGCAATCCTATTACTGGATATACACCTAAAGGAATGTAAATTGTTTTATAAAGACACATACACATGTATGTTCATTGCAGCACTATTCGCAATAGCAAAGACATGGAATTAACCTAAATGCCCATCAGTGGAAAACAGGATAAAGAAAATGTGGTAAATATACACCATGGGATACTATGCAGCCATAAAAAAGAATGAGGTCATGTCCTTTGCGGGGACATGGATGGAGCTGGAAGCCATTATTCTTAGCAGACTAATGCAGGAACTGAAAACCAAATGCGACATGTTCTCATTTATAAGTGGGAGCTAAATAATGAGAACACATGGACACATACAGGGGAACAACGCACACTAGGGCCTATCAGAGGGTGAAGAGTACAAGGAGGGAGAGGATCAGGAAAAATAACGAATGGGTACTAGGCTTAATACCTGGGTGATGAAATAATCTGTACAACAAACTCCTATGACACATGTTTACCTGTGTAACAAATCTGCACATGTACCCCTGAACTTAAAAGTGTAAAAAAAAAAAAAGAAAAAAAATTAGAGAATATGTTTTAACATGGACCTTTTAAGATGTTTTACTTTCAGTGAATATTCAAATATTGATCCTCTTTGGTTGAATAAAACTGATAGCCATGACTTATATTACCAGAATTTACTAGTACTGAACAAATAAACCTTTAAAAATGTCATACTCATAATTATTGTAAATAATCTTTAAAAATTTTTACAGAGGTGATGTGTATGAAAAATCAACCCAGGTCTTCTTTTTAGTGCAATGATTTTTCATTCTACTATTTCTCTTAAAAAGGCAAATTTATTATTGCCAAAGGTTGAAGTTGATTAAAATATTTTTAAAAACAAAAATTTCTGTTTATGGTCTACTAAAATTAACTTCAGACTTCTTTCTTTTATTTCCTTAAAAGATGACCACCAATTTGTGAATTTATTCAGTTATTCAACAAATACTTATTGAATACCTACTATGTGATAACTGCAGGAAAGAGGCACTGAGGATACAAAGATGAATAAAATAGTCAAAGGTCCTGCCCTTATGAAATTTATATGCCACGGAGAATGATTAATTAATTAAAATTATATCGGCCAGGCGCAGTGGCTCACGCCTGTCATCCCAGCACTTTGGGAGGCCGAGGCAGGTGGATCACCTGAGGTCAGGAGTTCAAGACCAGCCTGGCCAACATGGTGAAACCTTGTCTCTACTAAAAATACAAAAATCAGCCGGATGTGGTGGCGGGCACCTGTAATCCCAGCTACTTGGGAGGCTGAGGCAGGAGAATCACTTGAACCCAGGAGGCAGAAGTTGCAGTGAGCCAGGACCACACCACTGCACTGCAGCCTGGGCGACAAGAACAAAACTTCATCTCAAAAAAAAAAAAAATTTCCAAGGTGTTCTGAAACAGCTCAAAGGCTGAAGTAGAGAACAGAAAACAGTGGGGGAGTGAGGGAGATTGAAGTGGCCAGAGCAGATCCCTCTGCGGAGGTGGCACTTAAGCTTTAACCTGAAGTGGGAGGACAAGGTACCCATGTGAAAATGCATGAGGATAATCTTCCAAGTGGAGAGAACACTATGTATGAAGGGCTTCATTTGCTCTAGGATCTGAAAGATCAGGGTAGCTGATGCATAGAGACACAGGAGACCAGGTTGGATGGAGAGGCAAAGGCTCTTTATGACATTGGCTTTTTACCACATTGTAGGCTGTGGTAAAAAGACTAAGGTAGATGTTAGAAAAATTTCATTCCGAATGCAGAAAATATTTTTAGGTCTCATATTTTAAAGGTGTTTTTAGATTAAACTTTAGTCAGTGCTCTGTGTCCATGCAGTAAGCTTCGATTGTAAATGTAATAATTTCTTTAGAACCGTTTGATGAATTCTTTCTGTAGCCCTCACCTTAGAAAAGATAATTAAATAACATGGTATTTGTTAGCATTGAACCAAATGGAGAGATGGTATTATGGCTTAAAGAAGGTAATGTATTACTGGTTTGCTAGAGGTTATTCTTTTCTTTTCTATGGACATTATCAGTTAATATTCTATTAAAAAGTCAGGATTTCATGCTTGCTTATTACTCAATTCATAGTACTAAAATTTTCCTCTAAAAGTATATTAGAAGGACAAGCTGGAAGGTGTAGCATATCTTCTTATATGGTAACATATTAATAATTTATTTAAATTTCTATCAAAAGGCTAAAACAAGATTTTTTTTTTTCCTATCAGGCATGTCCATTTGTCATTGATATCTATGCAGAAAAATGCAAGCCAAAAATTAAAGCTGTCCATATGGAGGCATGTAGTGGACAACTTGAGAAGGCCATTTGTAAATCTGTTCTTAGCAAGGGTGATGCCAAAGTAATGGATGGCTATGAAAATATAATCGTGCATACTTACAGTTGTGACACCTGGATAACGTCAGTTATTGAAAACAAGGTATCAATTATGAGGTGGTTTTCCTCATTTTGCTATAAAGCTTACTAATAATTCCTTGCTCTGTTCCTACGTGGTAATTAAGTATCCCATCACATTTATAATGTTTATAATGTATAATTAATTTTTCTTGTCAGGTTTCTAACTCAAACTGGGAGTGATAATTTTTATATGGTTTTTAAAGGTTTCTAATTTTTTTCTCTTAAAATATTAGGAAAATTAAACATTTGGGTATCAATGCGAATAGAGCACAATCTGGATACAAAGTATTTTATTTAGTTTGTTTCTAAACATTTTTACATATACATAACTATTTAAATAATATCATGTTTTAAAGAAATATTATAAACAAAGAAAAAAATTTCAACCCAGCTTTTTACACTAACATTGCAGAGATCCTATAGATTATCATTATTTAATCTAACTAAATGTATTCTACTGTCCAATACCTACTTTCATCAAGCTGATTATTTCTACCTTTGGCTCTCTTCCCTGCTATTAATACTATTGATATTACAGGTCAAGAGAATAAGAGCATAAATTCTTAGTCAGAAATATCCAGTTCTCTAGAAATTATAAATTTTCATAAAACTTTATATAAGATGGCTAGGTGCTCAGTACTGTTGACTTATTTCTTTTAGGTCCTAGGTGAGCCATATTTTTATGCCTGCCATAAATTTCTTAAAATACTTAAAATTTGGTGGCATTTTTAGTCAACCTGAGAATATATTATGTAACTATTTTAGTCACAGTAGGAGCCACCAGAAAATGTAAAACTTGATCTCTGTGTTCAAGGAGTTTATGGCCTATAATTGGAAAGACAAAATTAATACTCTCGAAAGACATCAGAGAATAATTAAACGTTACATAATGTAATACTGTTTGTGTGTGTGACAGGAGTTTCATTCTGTTTCTCTTGTAGTTGTTAATTTGAACCATAGAAGTTGGGGAAGGATTTGTTATGAGGGGGAAGGGAACTGTGATATGGGATTCGAGCATTGAAGGAGACTAGGATTTAGATATGCAGACAGACAGCCTTTAGAAGCAGGGGAAACAGTGTAAGGAGAAACAAGGGGAAGGGTATATATGAAGTATAAAGGAAAGAGTGAGAATATCTGCTTTGCAGAAATGGACAGCTTTATTTGAAGGAGGATTAGGAGGTAAATAACATACAGAATGGATCCAAATTATATATGTTATCTTGAAAACGAGATAGAGGAGTTTAGACTTGATTAACTAAGCTTGGGTCCCCACCTAGTAGATTGCAGTTTTCAAATGGACCAATCGTGCCTCAGAGGGTGATTCCTAGAATCCATCATGGTTCCCTTTCTGTCCTCTATATTTTATTAGGGTTAAAAAGGTGAAGGGAGTCACACTACCTTACCCCAACTCCTCTGTTCTGCTATCAACTATCAGTTCTCAATTCTCTGCCTCTGTTTTCCTCAAGGAAAATTCAACTCTCTTCACCAAAATGTGATAATAATGCTAACATTTTACACCTTATTGTGTGCCAGGCATTTACTTCTCACAACAACCCTATGAGATAAGTGCTATTTTCATTTTACAAACAGGAAACTGAAGCACAGAGCAGTTAAATAACTGGCAAATGATTACACAGCTAAGTAGTAGAAGACTTGAGAAATAAATTCAGATAGTCTAACATTATACTACCCCCTTAGTAGTCATTAGGGTATGATCGCAGATTCTTACTAGGGGAATAGTTTGATTCCTGCATATTTCCCATTTATCAGCGTCATTCTGCTTTCCCTTGTTCCCTGTCCATCCTAGAGGCCATTGTCTATTATCTCAGTTGTCACTTCTTCCAAAAAGTCTTCCTTGAAACCCCAGTCCAAGCTAATGTTCATCTTCTGTGTTTCTATAGATCCTTCTAAATACCTCTATTACAAGACTCAGCAGTGTTCTGTAATTGTCATTTTATTTGTCTGTCTCCCCTAGGGTGTGAGCTAGGAGTCAGTAATTCTATCTTTTATCTCAGTGCACCTAGACTCTAAAACAATGCCCGATACAAAGTTGATAATAAATATATTTATATATTGTGAATGAAGGAGTAAAAAGATGTTTTAGACACATTAGTTGGAAGGTAGTATTAAAATGAATGGAAGTTGAAAAAACTAGAGATAACAACAAAAGAAACAGACTATTGCTATCCTAAGTCAAGGATGAAATAATGTGACCCTAGTATCCATAATACCCTGGGAATGAAGATTAACAGGTGAGTAAATTTAAGTCACATTTAAAAGAAAAAGTTTATATAAATGGTGACAAATTGGAAAGAAAATGAGAAAAAGTAACAGAAACAAAGTTGAAAGCAGCAGCCAAATTGTATAAATTTGTAGTGCACTATATGATGTTAAAACAGAATTTCAGGGTTTATTCTGAGGCTTATATTTGTAATTAAAGAAAGGACTAGCAACTTATGAAACTTTTTTTTTTATAGTCAGATGAGAAAGTGATTATTCACATCAACAATGAGCTAAGTAAAAACTGTGTAAACAACAGAGGACTCAACATATTTGCGGTAGAAGTGGGACCCAAATCTACAATGGTAATGTATTATTTTCTAAATAAAGCCTTTTGTTTTATGTCTTTGAAAAAAATTTCCTATTAATGCTATGAGTAAACATGTAGATACAAAATGGAGTGGAAAATTATTTTAAGTATATTTGTATCAGTATCATTCTATACTCAGAGACAGGAGACTTTGGTTCTAATCCAGTTCTGTCACTGTTTGTTTGAGTGACTATGGGAAGTTCATTTACTTCTATGTTCCAGTCTCTTTAAATGTAAAATTAAGATAATATCACTAGGCTGGACGCAGTGGCTCACGCCTGTAATCCCAGCACTTTGGGAGGCCGAGGCGGCTGGATCACCTGAGGTCAGGAGTTCGTGACCAGCCTGGCCAACATGGTGAAACCCCGTCTCTACAAAAATACAAAAATTAGCCAGGCGTGGTGGCAGACGCCTGTAATCCCAGCTACTCAGGAGGCTGAGGCAGGAGAATCGCTTGAACCTGGGAGATGGAGGTTGCAGTGAGCCGAGATCACGCCATCGCACTCCAGCCTGGGCGACAAGAGTAAGACTCCGTCTCAAAAAAAAAAAAAGATGTCACTAGTTTTATGTACTTCACAAAGTTAATGTAAAGATTAAAATGATGTACATGAAAGTAGTTTTTTACATCATTTAGAAATGTAAAGTATTAATAAGAATTTTGATAACCCAAAATGCTTTTTATCTGCATTATTAAGATTTTCTAAAGTATCCTGAGAAGGAAAATGCCTCTGAGTTTTAGATAAGTAAGTAAGTCAAGAGCTAGAAAACAGCTATAGTTCCAGTGTTAGCAGAACTCTGGGTTTCTGATTTAGCCAGGAGTTCAAAGGCAGGGACAGATCAATAGAGCTACCTACTGGGCAAGTGAAGGGAGAAAGGAAAAAGCTTCCTATTCTTACCCTTTCTATTTCCATACTGTCCATTAAATCCTAAAATATTCTGGAACAGGATAAAGAGATTATCTTTTCTGTTTCTCCAATTAAGATTTTAGAAAATGCTCTAGGCTTAGCAAGGAAAGGATATTTTCTCCTCTTTCTACCACTCTACCCACATTCACACACACCAACTGACAGCTACTATATTAGGGTAGAATTTAGACTGGATTATCCTGTTAGACCTCAGATCATAGATTGCTAGTCTCTGCTAAGGACAAATATTGTAGAATTTTATCTGTACAGGGATATTCTCATACAAGGCCTAGAAACGTTGTCCTATTTAAAAATTAGCCAAAAATAACAATATATAAAAAGAATAAAAGCTTTCTATTTTTATATGCAGGTTTGTCAACATGTAATGCCTCTGAATGAACGACAAGAATGGATATATTATTGTATATATTCTCTTATTTCTTAAATAATTATACTTAGAACTTACCAAACTAAGAATTATTTCAGATTTAGCCTGTTATTTATTAAACAACTAAATGCTACTTAATTTAACTGATGTACCTAAATAATAATCTATTCAATTTATATGCATTTTCATTTTATGTCAATGCTATGTACCTTATTATTAAAATATACATAATGCTTTCATTGTGTAGTGTTCTTATTTAGTAGGAAATCTAAGCACATTTTATTTTTGAATAGTTAAGTCAATAAAATTACAGGTAAGATTTTTTAAAGTAGTATTGAACACATCCGGCAAAATCCTCTATACTTTAGGTTTTTGTACTCTTAAAAACAAAACAAAACAAAACAAAAACTGGCCAGGTGTGGTGGCTGATGCCTGTAATACCAGCACTTTATGAGGCTGAGGCAGGAGGATTACTTGAGTCCAAGAGTTTGAGTCTGCAGTGAGCTATTGTCATACCACTGCACTCAAGCATGTCTCTAAAAAGGATAAATAAATAAAAGGTAAATACAAAGTAGCCATTTAGTTTTCCTATCACACAAAAGAAATTAAAGCAAAATTTGGAAAAATTTATTTTTATGTAAAGAAGCCAAAATCTAATGACAATAGTAGGAATATTTTGTTCTAATAGTAAACTTTCATGAATTTATTTGTGGATTGCTTTTAATTAAATATATTATGAAATAATAGGAATTAAATTTATGTTACATTTAATAAAGTAGTACAGGGTATGAACAATTATATTAAACAATTCATAACTGTATGACAATATCAGTAACAGAATACGTGCCAGTAAATTTCAGCTTTTGAAATATCAATACCATTATGGCAGTATATTATTTTTGTACCCAGTACATATTAGCACGTAGTTTAGATGTCATTTGGGTTTTTAACCCTTGATTTAGCTATCCATAAAATGGGTTATCATCTAGCAGTTTGAATTCTTCAGATGATGTGTCTTTAAAAGTAATGAAATGTGAAAGCATTTTATTAATTGCTAAATGCCTTGTAAGTCCAATAAATGTGATCATATATTCTATTTCACAACGTATTGAGTTACAAGAAATTAATTACCTGGCTGTGATACTGAAAGCATACAATGAAATTGTTATCTATGTCCCAAATTGTAAAGGAGTTTTTATAATAGGACGACAAGTGACATATAGTGGTATACTGGATCATAAAAACTCAAGAAAAGGAATAATGAGCATTTAAGACTTACCTTCCACCACTGTCATCACTTAGACGTATCAGGCCTTTTTCCCACCTTTTCATTACTCACTTATTACAGGGAAAAAACAAACATACTGTCTTAATCATTCTATTTTCAACTAGTCACTAGAAAAGACAAAGATATTTTGTTTCAAATTAAACTTTCTTCCAAGTAAATGAAAACCCAAGGGAATCAGCTATATAATGAATACAAACTAGGTTACATTTTTTTTTTTTTTTGTATCTTTAAGTAAATTGCTTTTTGAAGATTACTTGAGCACTGTGGTACTAGAATATCCAGAAAAACTTAATTCAAGTCCTCAAATACTTGACTCATAGGTTGGTAGTAATTCTGTAACCCACCAAATATAATTGACTGACATGTAAGAATGTTTTCTTTAAGTTTGTGTGGTGCTTCCTTTTTTCAGGGCAGTTTTGCACAGATTGACCATGTTATTTTCAAAGGTAATTTTGCATGTGGTTTAATTTTAAAAGCACATTATCCAGCCTTACTAAAAAGACATCTAGATGGGCTGGGCATGGTGGCTTCTGCCTATAATCCCAGCACTTTGGGAGACTGAGGCCAGAGGATTGCTTTAACCTAGGAGTTTTTGGGACCAGCCTGAGCAACATGGCAAAACCCTGTCTTTACAAAAAATACAAAAATTAGCCAGGAGTGGTGAGGCACACTTGTAGTTCCAGCTACCCAGGAGGCTGAGGTGGGAGGATCACTTGAGCCCGAGGCAGAGGTTGCAGTGGGCTGAGATTACACCACTGCACTCCAGCCTGGGTGACAGAGTGAGGTTCTCTCAAAGAAAAAAAAGACATCTAGATGTGTCAGATCTCTTCTGTGTTCCAGATTCCATCCCTGCCTGTCTCCTCAGTGTGCCCATTAAAACTCCCCAGGGAACGAATTTTATCTACAAACATTCCCTCAGTATTGGCTTTCCCCCATTATTATTTATACATATTTGAGACTCTTTAAGAAGCTTCTCATTCCCCATCTCTTTCTATCATCTTATTTCTGTCCTCCCTGTCACAGCAAAGGGACATGAAAAGAATTGTTCACATTGTTATGCCCACTTTCTTGACTCCCACTCACTGTTTCCACTGAGTTACCAAACAGTGGTTGCTCCCTCCCAGGACATCAATAACTTTCTTGTTATTAAATCTGAAGGATATTTTAAAGTCTCCTCTCCAGTGTTAGACATTGTTGATCTTTTGGAGACACCACATTCTTCAGATTTTCTTTTCACCTTTGACTATTTTTTTTCACCCAAACTTCTATATTCTCTCAATTTCCACATCTCTCCTACCTTTGTATGTAACATTTCCTTTTTGCCTCCCTGTCCCCTCTTCTTCCTCCAGACATCAGTGAATATGTCACTCTTCCCAAAAATCCTTTCCTGATTACTCTCCTGACCAACTACTTTGATGGTACTAACACTTAGTACTCACCCTTTGGTGTAGCACTATCATATTTGAATTGGTGTTCATTTATCTGTACCTTTGACTAGGTTGAAAACAGAAGAGTTAAAACCTAGCATATACCATAGAAACTGTAATAGATATAAAATAAATATTGGAAAGATAGTTGGATAAAATGAGTAGAAAATTAAAATGAATGTACATGTATGAATATTTCTGAGTTCTTTAGCATATTTATAAATTAAAACTAGAAATATAAAAATTAAATCTCATTACTATTCAATTCTCTTTACCCAGATGTTTTTATTTCATTAGCAAATTTTAAAAAAATTATCTAACATTCAGTTTTAAGTTATAGACTTACATGATCACTGTAACTCCTTCCAACTTTAACGTTTTATAGTTCTAATATTTTAAAACAAATTTAAAGGTTAAGTATCAAGTACTGTTATATATATATATATGAGCCATGCCATATTCTTATTTAGTAATTTTGTTGATTTTACATTAGATATTGGGGTAGAAATTTTTTTGAAAAAGTCAATGGCCTTCTTTTAAAATCTTTTTGATTTAGGTTAAATATGAAGCAGAAACTTAATGTATACTACACTAATATTTTGAATATAACCCAGGAAAATGGATGTGTATTTCCGATTTTGGCCACCAGAGGGTGAGCATATTATTTTATTTATTAGAGAGATGGATAGTATTGTATTTCTCTGCACTGTGTTAGGTCCTTTATGACTTCTAAGACTACTTTTGGCAAACTGTATTGGCCACTATGGCTATATGCATATCCAGGCATATAACACCCATTTTTGTTGAGACAGAGTCTTGCTCTGTCACTCAGGCTGGACTGCAGTAGGTGCGATCTCAGCTCACTGCAGCCTTGATTTTCTGGGCTCAGGTGATTCTTCCACCTCAGCCTTCCCAGTAGCTGGTATTACAGGCCCGCGCTACCACGCCCAGCTGGTTTTTGTTTTGTTTTGTTTTGTTTTTTTGTAGAGGCAGGGTTTTGCCATGTTGCCCAGGCTGCTCTAAAACTCCTGGGGTCAAGCGATTGGGTGCCTTGGCCTCTCAAAGTGCTGAGATTACAGGCATGAGACACAGACCCCAGCCACCACTCATTCTTATTAGAGAACATATTCTAATCTATAACGTGGATACTAAGCCTTCTTCTCATTACTAATGAGTCTTCATGAGTTTGCAAGTTTAAAAGCATTCAAAATTAGCCCTGCTATCTTTACGTAGTCTTATAAAGCCTATCTTTGATGCTTAGCCTAGCTTAATTTCTGGGGGAAAAAAGAACTGTGTAATGATTTGAGGAAAAATAAAGCACATAGTGGACCTGATTTAGAGGATATAGATGAGATTCACGTGGTAAGGTAATGTGTGAGCCAGGAACTCCAGGAATCATTATTGAAAGTCTGAGGGGTAGGCCAGACACGGTGGCTCACGCCTGTCATCTCAGCACTTGGGAGGCCGAGGCTGGCAGATCACCTGAGGTCAGGAGTTCGAGACCAGCCTGGCCAACGTGGTGAAACTCTGTCTCTACTAAAAATATAAAAATTAGCTGGGCGTGGTGGCAGGCGCCTGTAATCCCAGCTACTTGGGAGACTGAGGCAGGAAAATCGCTTGAACCCTGGAGGCAGAGGTTGCAGTGAGCCGAGATCGCATCATTGCATTCCAGCCTGGGCGACAAGAGCGAGACTCTATCTCAAAAACAACAACAACAACAACAAACAAAAAATAACAAAGTCTGGGGGGGGCAAAGAACTTTGGTTGGTTTTAAGTGTCTGTACTTGTTACCCATGGCTAGTACTATGTAAGGAAATGAATAAGATACCCTCAATTCTTGTGAGTAATTCACAAGCTGCCTATATTTGTGATATTTGACCAAAGTCAGTTTGTACTTTAATAATAAGTACTCTTGGTCGGGCGAGGTGGCTCATGCCTGTAATCCCAGCACTTTGGGAGGCCGAGGTGGGTGGGTCACCTGAGGTCAGGAGTTCAAGACCAGCCTGGCCAACCTGGTGAAACCCCATCTCTACTAAAAATAAAATAAAAAAAAATTAGTTGGGCGTGATGGCGGGCACCTGTAATAATCCCAGCCACTTGGGAGGCTGAGGCAGGAGAATCGCTTGAAGCCGGGAGGCGGAGGTTGCAGTAAGCCAAGATCACCCCACTGCACTCCAGCCTGGGCAATAGAGCGAGACTCCATCTCTAATAATAATAATAATAATAATAATAATAATAATAATAAGTGCTCTTGACCGGGTGCCGTGGCTCATGCCTGTAATCCCAGCATTTCCAGAGGCAGAGGCAGACTGATCACAAGATCAGGAGTTCGAACCAGCCTGGCCAACATGGTGAAATCCTGTCTCTACTAAAAATACAAAAATCAGCCAGGCGTGGTGGTGCGCGTCTGTAGTTCCAACTACTTGGGAGGCTAAGGCAGGAGACTTGTTTGAACCCAGGAGGCTGACGCTGCAGTAAGCTGAGATCTGCCACTGACTCCAGCCTGGGTGACAGAGTGAGACTC